AAAGGCTGTGGCTGTGGCTCAGTGGTAGAGTACATATGTATGAGGCACTGGGTTTGATCCTCAGCACCACATAAAAATAAATAAAGATATTGCATGTCCATCTACAACTAGAAAAATATTTTTTAAAAAAGCAGTCTCACCAAGGCCAAGAACAAGGCAAGGGTGTTGATTAGCATCATTCTTCCTAATATTATTCTGTACATATTGGCTCATATAATTACCCAATGGGGAAAAATAAGATTAAAAAATAAGTGGGGACAGGGGAAGGTAAGCTTGAAATTATTTGCAACTGATCTGATCTTATGCCTGAAAGCACAAGAGAATAAACTGATAAGTTGTACAGATAATAAAATAATTCAATAAACACATCACACAACATTAATGTAATCAATGGATTAATAGTCACTTAGGACATTAAAAAAAGAGAACTTTTTCTATTTATAGCACTAACAGGAAAGAGAATTAACCTGACAGGAAATATGCAAAGTTAACATGAAGGAAACGGAGCAAAACTTGTAAACGAAGAAAAGCAGGTTATGTCCCTTGACAGAAAGACGTACCACATCAGCAATGTCAAAGTGAAGCCTTGGCTTTTTAGCGGTGTTGCATCTGGACTTGCATCACAAGCAATCAGATGGAATTGATAGGGAAATAGTCTTGTTTTCATTTTTCTCTTCATAACTTCATTCTCCACCTAGCCTGGTCTTGTCTCAAGAGTTTTAGTCACATGGAGATATGCAGGCTACCCACTGGCTAAAGGCAGGTCCCAGGCTAAGTGAGCCTTATGAAGTGGTCCTAGTCAAGTCCCCCTTTGGACAGTCAGGTTATGACCAAAGAGGGCTCCCCAGATGCTAGTTCTCCCGATCTGCCAGGGGCACCTTGAGTCCTTCTTCCTCTCTCTCTCTCTTTCTCTCTCTCTCTCTCTCTCTCTCTCACACACACACACACACTCCCTTTCTCCCTTAGAAACAACTATTTCCATAATATTCCATTTGGACCACCTGAAGTTTTATTAATCTTGTTGATACAATAATTGCTACACAAATATTCTTCCTATCAGGATCATAGTTAAAATAGCAATTTATGGCATCTTCCAGCATGTCACCAGTCCATTCTTGGATTATGTGCTTTTCGACACCATTTTTACCTATCTCTTACCTCTTAGGCATTTGTGGTTTTAAAAAAATGCCACCGTTGCTGTTGTCCAAGGAATTCCATTTATAACCAATAAATGAGTAAGGTAATTTTGGGGTGAGGTAAGGGGGGGGGGTAAGGGGAGAAGCTGCTGTTGCCACTGAAATCCCACTTGGAAGACTAGTAATGTGGGGTGGGCGTGGGGCAGGTGATCAAGTCCATCAGGAAGAGTGGAAATTCCACACAGATGGCCTTCCCTTGAAGACTGTTCCCTGACTGTTCCTAAAAGCAGCTGGGATCTCTCCTAGCAACAGAGGTAAAAGTCTGATCTTTGGCTGCTGACTTTTCCTTTATCTTCTTTCTTTGTCTTTTATACACTAGAAAATGAAGCCATGGGTGGGACTGTGCTTTCATCAACCTCTGTCCTGAGGCCTAGAGAGCAGGGAGAAACTGCTTTAAAATTCTCTAGAAGGAAAGTGGCATCAATTGAGAGCAGAAGGTTGGAATAACATGGGAGATTTTGGCTTTGAACACTCATTTTTAAGGTCTCCGTGTTAGTCAGTTTTTCATTGTTTTGATCAAAATACCTGACATGAACAACTGAAGGGAGGAAAAGTTTATTTTGGCTCAGGATTTCAGAGGTTTCAGTCCATGGTCAGCTAACTCATTGTACTGGGCCTGACGCAAAGCAGAACATCATGGCGAAAGGGTGTGACTGAGAAAAGCTGCTCAGCTCATGGCAGCCAGGAAAGAGAGAGTGGGAGAGCCAGGGACAGGATATATAGTCCCCAAGGGCATGATTCCAGTGACCTACTTCCTCCAACCATGCCCCACCAACTTACAGTTACCACACGGTAGTCCAGTCAAGTTACCGATAACATTAGAGTCCTTTTGATCCAATCATTTCCTAAAAGCTCTACCATGAACATTGTTGAATTTCTTGTAGAGCTTTTTTGAATTTCTTGTAGAGCTTTGGAATCCAAATCCTAACACTGTCTTTCAATGTGCAAAGTTTCAACAGCCATCCATACTGTGAAATGCTCTGTCCACTCCACTTGTCCTTGAAAACACTCTGGGGGACCTTCACAAGTACGGTGGACTTCTGGCAGTTGAGTGAACTTTTTGTTCTGCCTAGTTGGTAAGTTGGTTCTGGATGGTGCCTTTTTAATGTTCTGATAATCACCCCTGGCTAAGACTGACACTGTGTGTCAGATGCAGAAGACCAAAATGTCTACAAGCAGGCGGGGTATGAGGAATTTGTGCACCACGTGAGAGCTTGGCCAACTGGGGTACACGGTCCACTTCCTCAGAGGTTGCTATAGCAACCTGGATTGTACCCCACTGTTGCCCAATTTTCCCATATTTCAACAAAAGGCGAACTTTATGTAAAACCTTCCAATTTTAAAGTGCTAGCTCAAATTTTAAAGAGAAAAATCCCCCTGGCTGTGCCAAACAAAACACCTCTATGGACTGTATCTAGGATGACTTTGTAAGTTGTGCTGAACAGAGTCGCTTAGGCAAAACTCTTAAAAAACAAACGGCAGCTGTGGGGAATACAGTAGCATCAGGGAGAGAAAAATGGTGTACTTTGAGTGTGATTGTAAAAAGGTAATGCTAACTGAGGTCAATTGATTGTATAGTTCTTACTACTTATGTGAGGTCCCTTGTTAATAATAATTATGAACATAATTAAATTCTTCCGATTCTGTAAAATTCCTTTTGGATTATTTTCATCCCATGTTTGTAGTTGAGCGATAGGGCTAAGATTTCATAATTTAAATGTATAAATAACTCTGCTTCAAATCGTGGTTTTGAATTTTGTTGTTTTTGTACCAGGGATTGAACCTAGGGATGCTTAACCACTGACTCATATTCCCAACCATTTTATTTTTTTTTATTTTGAGGCAGGGTCTCACTAATTGCTTAGGGCCTCACTAAGTTGTTGAGGCTGGCCTCAAACTTGTGATCCTCCTGCCTCAGCCTCCTGAATTGCTGGGATTACAGGCAGGCACCACCACACCTGGCAACTTGGTTTTGAATTTTTTCATGTACTTAATTGGTCCTAGTAAGGCCTCCATATTACTTCTGGGCAGGTCACATTTGTTGGACTTGATTTGGGGCTTATCATATAAAAAAGGAGAAAGGGAGAAAGCCTATATTCCTTTATTTTTACTCTTTCCTAGCAAATATTTAGTAAAAAATATTTTTAAAGTAGGATTTTGGGGATTTGACTGAAAAGCTGCATATATGTTCACTTGATGGTGACAAAGTCAGCCTGTGGCATTGAAGGAACACCACTAGGCACACTCCATCCCACTCCTGTTCCCTCCAACTCAGCTGATGATTTCACTTTCTAATCCTAGGCTAAACAACCAACTAAGATCCAGTGTGATAAGCTCTTAAGTGGGGAAAAGAACAGGTTCCCATGGAAACAGCAGGGAATCTAGCCTAGGCTCTGCCAAGGAGATAGGTCTATGAGGCTGCTGGAAGGAAGTGGCATCTTCAGGAAGAGTAAAAAAACTGATTAGACTTTAATTAGAGGCCAGGGTGAGAGCGAGGGCAAAAGCTCAGAACTGGAGAAAGTGTGGCAGGATCTGAGACAGAAATTGTCACTTTCTGATCATTTCTTGTTTGCTTGTTTATTGTCTCTTCTTCCACCTCCATTGCCTCACAGGAAACAGGAGGATTGCCTGCTGATTCCTCAGTACCTCGTGCATATGACCGGTTGACCTCTCTGGAGGGCCAGTCATGTGGCAGATCCTGTTCTAAGGGTTCCCCCACCATCCAAAAGACAAAGTTCTACTTCTTCAGAGATGGCTCACATGTTTCTCTTCTGTGAACCCTCCCCCATCTCTTCACCCATTCCTACTCCAGAATTAACTACTTCTTTCAGAGTTTCCTAGGCTATTGATCCTTCTCTGGAGCATCAACTAAATTATGCATAGTGTTTGTTAGTTTGATGTTTCCTTGTCTCCCCCATTCCTCCCTAAGTTTTACATCACATAAGGACCAGTCTTTATTTATCTGTCTCTGAAAGCTTTACAACACCAGGGGTAGACTTTTATACACAAAATAGGGCTCAGAAGTAGTTTTGAATAAATGCATTAGGGACAGAAGGTCATGAACACTCCCTCAGCCCCAGTCCTCAGAACATTTTAAAACAAATATTTGACCACATCAAAGCTCTACTTAATACTCTTGATGGACACTCTTCATCCTTAGAATAGAATTCCAACTCTTAACTACACTGGTTACCTCAGTGCCCTGTGTGAATTTGCTCCCATCCACCTCTCCAGTCACGTCCCTCCCACATCTGGTCGAATAAAACTTGACGGGAGTCCTTATTGCACAATGCACGGGCTGTCCTGACTCATGCCACAAGGCTTTCACTTCAGCTTCTCCTCTGACCGGTATGCCCTTTCCACTTTCCTTGCCTGACTCCGTTCAGGCAATGACCTTCTCAAGCAAGCTTTCCCTCTTTGAATCCAGATCCTGATTAAGAACCCCCAAAAAGTACCAAGTAGAAAAGCTTATGGCGCTTCCCCCATTTATGTGATTAAAGACGAAAACAATACCGAAGCGTGAAATGTAATTAAAAAAACGGCACACGATTGCATGTACACTCGATTTAGAAGTCGGTCTATATTTAACGATTTTCTTTCATTCACCGTCTTTGCATGCATCCATTTGCGCACGCCCCAGTTTCTATCGGATCACCCTCAGGTTGGGTCAAACGCTTCTCTTCTGGGCTTTGCAGACACAACTCTATCTCGACATTCATCATCTGAGAAAGCTGCAAATTTGCTTTCCTCTGTGGAGGTGAGCTCCCGAGGTGGCGCTTACAGTATCTTTTCTCGATCAGACCCATTTTCTGAATTGAAGGGAACGCTCCTCCCCAGACCGCCAGCGCATTTCTTAACGAGCGGCTGCTTCTCTTCCCGCCCAGGAAATACAAAAACTGGCTTGCATCTATCAAGAATCGGTTCTGGGAAAACAGACTGAAATATCAGCCGGCCCTGAAAGTCAGGAAAAGGAAATGCTCTAAATTCCCGGGCCCAATGACAGGCGCAGGAACCGCGACAGCCAGAAGACCCACAGAGGAGGCGGGCCCAGGGAAGTGACTGGCACCGGAAGTCACGTGCGCGACTAGGCCTAAATCCACAATCCCGGCGGTCGATTGCTCAGCCTTACGGGCCGCTGGCGGGCTGCGCTGAGATCCAATCGTTCGGTGCTCGACTCGCTCGTGCTGCTGCCGCCGCCGAAGGAGGGGCAAAGCTCAAGATGGCGGACAAAACGCCAGGCGGATCTCAGAAGGCCAGTTCAAAGGTAATTTCTTAGAGGTCTTCATGAGTCAGTGGGTCTATGGCTGTCATCCAGGGTCTACGGACGCTTCCGGCTGGCGAGGGGTTGCTGGGGTGGGGGTCTCCGTTCTGGTCGCAACAGCAGGCCTGGGTGCCGCCGCACCGTGGTGCGCAGGTTTAGAGGCCTGATGTCCCCCTTCGGTCCCAGCCTGGATTCGGCTCGAGACCGGCGTGCCCAGGGGCTGGTGGCGTGTGTAGCTTGCCCCTTGCTTGGCACTGGAGTTAAGTCAGGGATTCAGAAGGAGACCTGAAGTCCTGAAAACGCGCCCTTGTGTCCCAGTCGGCTGGGCTCCGAGGCCGCGGTCTAGCGCCCGGGAGAGGCGGGAATCGCCTCCCGGTGTTTGGGTGTCTGTTTCTTTTTGTCTTGGTTCTTTGGCTTTCGTGTCTTACCTGCTGTGGCCATCTTCGGTGTCCTCCATGCCCTCCAAGGAGTACGTGGGCTCTCGGGTGGCAGGTTTGTGGAGGGAGGACGGAGAGCGAGGGGACGCGGGGTGGGAAGTAGCTAGGCGGGAGCGGCCACCCTTGGCAGGGTTGCGTGGCCAAGGTTAACGCTGCGCTCTACACGTGGCCTTCACCTCCGTGGAGAGGAAGTGAAAAATGAACCCTCTTTCGGGAGGGTCGCAGAGTCGGGGTCCCTCTCTCCGTGTGGTGTGTTCCACCGAAGGAAGAACTTCCGTGGACTTGGAAAATACCCAGTCAATTCCGCTTGAGTTTACAGGGAACGGAGCGCACATCTTGTGAAACCAGGGAGCTGTGGAAATAGTTTAGCGTCAATAAGGTTTTGATATCAGGTCGTAGTTGCCATCTTGGGCGGGTCATTTCATCGTTTTTAATTTTTTTAAAAAAATGGTTTGTTTTGCGTTGAGTTTCTCATCTGGAATTCAATATTAGAATATTGTTACTGCCATGAAGTAGTCAGTTGGTGAGCATTGAGATGCTGATGAAAGAAGTTGTGTAACACTGAAAGGTTCTAGGGACTTACAGACTATGATTTTTAAGTCAGATACTAGGAAGTTTAGGTAGAAGAGGAGAGCCTCGCCTTTGCTCTTTGATCTGCGAGACATCACAATCCATTTTATTTTTGCTTTCTCAGTGTCTAATAAACATGTCTTAATGCCATTTGGTAAATGATGTTCACCAAATTATTTAGTTTGTAATTGTTAATGTCCTTATCAGACATCCTCTAGTTAGGTGAAAGTATGGTACGTGGACAGTTTGTTGTGCTTTACATCAAACCTTTGCTCCATATCATTTCCATCCCTCCCCAGTAGATTTTTTTTCCTTCTCCCCTTCCTTCAGAGAGAGAGAGGTGGCTTAAATTCAGTAGTACCTGACTCTATCCACTCTGCTATTCAACAGATTTGTGATGAAAATAGCTCCACGTGCTGTTAGGGAACTGTTAGGAAAGCTTGCTACGTTTATGATAATTCACAATTTTTGTTTCTTCTCAAAGTATGAAGTATCCCGTCTTTGAGACCTTGGATACATTGAAAACATTTCAATGTGCTTGTTTAATCTTCCTTCTAAAATAGTACTGATGGTTGTGAATGTGTGACTGACTGTTCCTTCTAAGTAAATTATTGGGTTTTCTGTTAATGAGTCTTACCATTTATAGTCCTTTAGATTATCATCTGTTGATGCTTTCAACAGATTTCTTATCCATGTCTGTTAAAAGGAATCAGAACCCACTCAAATCGTGTATTGGCGTGATTTCTCTGTTATTAGGGAAACTCCATGATGTAGTAGAAAGGTTATGAATTTTGATAACAAAAGATTTCGATTCAAAATGTCAGGATACATTGTGATCCAGAGAATTTGAATCTAAGTTATCAGCTGTTATAATGACTTCCCAGATTGCCGCTTTTTACTTCTAATGCAACTCCAGAATTTATTAAGAGATTATATGATCATTTTGGCTAGTATTACAGTATTTGGTATTTCTGGTCATTGATCTATGGTTTTATTTCCCTCTTCTGGAAAGAGCAGATAAATGGCTTATATTCCACAGTACAGAAAGGGTGAACAGATACTTCTTTTTTATGCTCATTCTTCTTTGGTAGTTTAAATTTCCATTGATATAGGTAGGGATGATTATTAATTATATTTCTTGACATTGAGGAAAACATTAATTTAAAGATGTACGTAGCAAGCGTAAGGCCCACACAGTTCAGTCCCAGAACCACAAAACAAAAAAATAACATGCAGGATTTTTGCCATTGACAATAGCAAAATCGTTAACATCTCTTTAATTATAGGTAACTGCTACAGTTTCTTCTAGCTAGCTTCAAAACTACATTTTTACAAATGTGTGTCAAGTGACTTACCTATATGTATAGTTGTCTATAATGAAAAGACCTCCAGGCTCTTATTTTCTGTGTAATTTTATTTCTTTTTTTCTTTTTTGTAGCATGGATTGAACCCAGGGGCACTTAACCACTAAACAACATCCCCAGCCCTTTTTATTTTTTATTTTGAGAGAGGGTCTCACTAAGTTGCTTATTAGGGCCTCTATAAATTGCAAGGCTGGCTTTGAACTTGTGATTCTCCTGCCTTGGCCTCCTGAGTTGCTGGGATTGCAGGCATGCTATCATGCCTGCTTAGTATTTTTCATTTTAAAGCCTGGCGGATTTGGACATTCAGTAAATGTTTTGGAAATGAACTAAAATTTCCTATGCATTTATTTCTGTTTAGACTAAACAGGATAGACTAAACCTAATATTAATTGGGTAAGGCAGGAGTTTAGTGCCATATTAGAGCTTTGATTTTGAAAGGGGAGAGGGAGAGACATGCCCAGGGAGGGGTTGCTGAAAGCACTCCCTCTTATCATTGTGAGTTTATAAAATTGTTAAACATATTTCTTTAGAATTTAGTTTATAAAAATTATTTTAACATTTTGAATTTCAGTTTTATTGTTTGTATGCTCAGCCAAAGGAGGCTATAAAGAGAATCTGGTATTTCCTTTTTCTTCTATATCTCCTGTGCTGGTAATATTGATAATATAATGGAATTGTGTGCCCTGTTATTTCACTCTGATGGTACCTGTTTTTTTTTTTGTCATATTATAATAAATTGGGTTAAAGAGGTAAATGGATAAAATAGGAAACACTACTGGCTTCCTTGGACATAGAATACTGAAATGCTTTGAACTATTGTCTGCCTTTGCTGATTAACAAAAAAATCACCTAGAGAAAAAAAAAAAAAGTAAAACGAGGATCTTTTCTAGACTTGTGATCCTTATGTATTTGTTGTGACTGTTGATACGGTTTTTTACAGTTCTTACTAGACTGAATTGATGGTTTTCTGAAATTCCAGCATTTGTTTTCTTTTGGTTTTTGTTTCTGAAACTTTTTTTTCTTGGAGAGCAAGCCTAAGAAAGAGAGCCATTTGCCTTGGTGGCAAATGAGAGAGTTCATTTGGCATACATGTTAAAGACTCCTGCACCTTTGTACAATGAGCAGCACTTTTGAAAGAAAAATAAAACTTGGTGCAGAACTTTAAAATAACAATAATATTACAAAAATTCGTCTTATATTATATAGTTTTAACATTCGTTGCATACCAGCCATGTACTGGATATTTTGCTGAAATGACTTTTTTAAATTTTTTTTATTCTGTAGATCAAATCCCAGGACCTTGCATATGCTAAGCATGCCTCTACCACTGAAGTGCACTGGCAGCCTTGAAACAACTTTTCAGATACGTTTGCCAGTAACACTTGAGGCTGTTGTATTCCTTGAGAAGTTAATCACCTCTCTTAATACTATAGGACAAAGTGTACTTAAAGCTTTTTATATATTGGTAGTGTTTTGGATGTAATTTAAAAAATCATGTTAGATTGTTATGTAACTATATTACATGTAGTGCAAATCTTAATGCTCTTACAAAGGGGTTTTTTTTTTTTTTTTTTTGAGAGGTAAAACCTTGGTTTGGCTTGAGTACTGGCATTAAGCCAGGTAGCTGCTATTTGTTAATGAGTAGACATAGTGTGTTGACAGTGTGGGGTATAATTTTGTTTGGTAGGTACTTGTTTAGATAGGTTAAGTCAACAAGTGTATTGAGGCTTTCTCATTTGTCAGATACTGTGCTTGCTGTTAAGGTAAAAAAAAAAAAATTAAAAAGGACATTAAATTAGTCTGTTCCTACTCCTGGGGAGCATGCTTTCTAGTAGGAGAGAGCTAACTCACATAATAGTACAAGGCAGTGCTCTCAGAAGTGTCTAAAAGTAGGGAGATGACACATTAGAGCTTGGGGAGAAGGCAGCTTCAAGAGTATCGTGGAATTTGGGTCCTTTGAGCAGTGAGGAGAGTCTCAAGGGTATAGATAGGAGCATTAAAAGGAGAGGGATGAGGTGAAGAAAATAAATAGGTGGGAAATAGATTGAGAAGTGCTCTGATTTAATCGGCATAGGGCACTTACTTGGGTATAAAATGGGTTAAAGACTGGAAAGATAAGTTTGGGTTTAACTGTGGAGGACTTTAAATGCTAGGGAATAAAATTAGAGATCTGGGAGAAATTTTAGGCAGGAAAGTCCTTTAGGAGAGCTCTTCTGAAGTCATAGTTTAGGAAGGATTTAAGGGTTAGGACCGATTTGGAGGTTATTACAGTGGTGTTGGCACATTTTGAAGATTGCTTAAAAAAAAAAAATCACACCTCAAGATCCTGTTCCAGGAAGCTTTCCCTGACAATCCTCATTTCCCCACCCAATTAAAATTTTCCTGCCTTCTGTGCTCTTGTGACATAGCCACATTGTTTTACTTGGTTTTAAAATCCATTCCTAAGTATAGGAGCTGTATCTTATTTTACTTTGCAAGGCACAGTAGCATTTATCTAATGCAAGGCACAGTACCAGCCTAGGAAGTATTCAGTAAGTGATTAATTGAAGGGAAGATCTAAATCAAACAAAAGGTCTCTATGCAAGATCTATGTTAAGTCTCATAATTTCACTCAGCTGATTAGGAAGGTGTCTAGGATAACTCTGTTAGAATGCTGCTGCTGCTGGTTAACACTGAGCAATTATTAAGTTAACATTTTTCTAAGAGCTTCACCTGTATTTGCATTTCACAACAATCTTGAGATGGGTGCTATTCAGTTTCACATATGAAGAAACTAAGGAGAAGCTAGTTTAGGAGGAATTTTGGACATGTGAGATTTGAGAACCTTGCAGACACATAGGTGAAGACATCCAGGAGACGGTTTGAGAATAGATTGAAATCCACGAGATGACCAAAATTGAAGATCAAGAACTGGAAATCATTTTTGTATAATAAAGGTGCTGATGTATTTCCTTTGGGAGAAATTGTTCAACTTTGGGTGAAAATTTTGATGCTTTTAGAGGGCAAGGCATTTAGGAGATGGAATGGTGAGCTGGACAGGCAGGAGTGGTGGTGGAGGAACATTGCTGTGCATAGCCTGCTAATTTGAAAACTTAGGTGTGGGGCTTTCATTTGAAGTAAAGTAGGAGCAGCAAGATAAAATGCTAGTTTTTATTCTTGGCCAATAAGATACAGGGCCATAAGTATCGTATAGTTGGCTTTACATTTATCACCTTAGCAACCAATAAAATGATTGATCTTTTTGAATTTTCTTATTTTTGCTATCCTAAGATAAAGTTCTTACATCTGCTTCTTTTTTTGCCTTAAGCTTTCCTTATTCTGCCCATTAATTTCTTGCATTTGAGTCTTTTCATCTGGATGAGGAATTGTGTTATAAACTTCAGAAGATATTTAAGCATCATTGATTTGTGTTCTTCAGTTGAGAAAAAACAACCGAAGACAATACAGTTCAGGTGTAGGTTAAGAAGAGGGAGAGGCTCCTCGTCTATGGTGGTACATTTACTGTTGACTTCAACCACTAGCTTTTGAAATTGGTCATCCTTTTAAAAACCTTATTAACAACTGCTTGCATCTCTCTGTTAATCTTAGTTTTTTTTTTGTTCTAAAAACGTTCCATTGAATGCTGTGTAGTTACGGCTGCATATCAGTGGTAAATGTCTGGTTTGCAGTAAATATAACCATGACTTTTTAGGTTAATTGAAATTGGCTGATTCATTATTCTAAGCCATGCTGTTACTGCTTTGTTTGCAAATTCATAGTGCTACTTTTGAACAGATTACTTTCAGAGATCATTCACCAATTTGGTAGAAGGTTATTCAAGTGATATTCTTGATTAGATTATGACTACATGACTTGGAGTCATGAAAGAGTTAACTCTGGAAATAGGTGGAGAGTCCAGGTTCTTGTGACTCTTAGTTTTAAATCCTAGAAATTGATGATTTGGATGCGGCACCAGTAGAATAAAGGCTGTTCCTTTCTTAGCTACTCTCTTGCATGCTTCTTATTCTTGTGTTAGAGCTATTTTCCAATTCCTTTACCCCCTTGCAAAGATTTCCCTTTGGAATTTTGAGCTTTTGAATGAAATTGTATTAAAATATATAAATAAATGTGAGTATCATTCACATAGTTTTAATATTGTCTTTTTCCATACAGGAATATTAGTCTTCAAAAAGTGACTTGGATTTCTTAAAGTGGTTTTTGCGTGTTTTATGTTCCTGTCATTACAATATTGTGTTTGTTACCTAGCAGGTTAATACTGGTGTTTAGGAAGGCTTTTTTTTTTAAGTCCATTCAGCCTCTTCACTTAATTTGTGTTCCTTTTATTATCTTGGATTTTCTAATTTTTAGATGTCTGCAAATAGGTGTATTTCAAAGAATGTTTCACAAAATTGAAATGTAAAAATGCTTATTCTTTTATACTATCTTGATTATTAAGAAAGGTCACCTGGGAGAAGAAAATGAATGGGGAAGGCACAGTAAAGTTGAGGACAGGAAAATGATGGACAGAAAGAATGAAGATGGGTGATATCTCAATGCATGCCTGGTTTGGGCTAGTTTTTGCCTAGGGCTCAATACAGTGGAGTTCTGGGAGTAAATTGAGTTAGAAAATCAGATCAGCTGCTTTTAGTCTTATGTTGGGACAAGGTAAATAAAGCAATACTTCATGAACTCATGAATCTTCCTGTATTTGCTCTTTTCTAAAACATAACAAATGTTTAATTTGCTTTAGAAAATTAGTGTGTATTTTATTTGAAATCTAGAACTGGGAGCTAGGGTCAGGTGAGATATTTGTGATTTTAAGATTCTTGATTTCACTTTTAACACTGAAAGAAAATCTCACTTTAACACGGAAGTAAAATCTTACCATGCAGTATCTTCAAAAAAAAAAAAAATTAGTGACAAAGTTAAATTCTTAGTCTCCATGTAAAACTTTCAGAAAGGTACCATGTATTATTCAGCTAATAGCCTTGCAGCCTGGCTTTTTTTGTCCCTAGATGTTTTTTTTGAAAACAACAACAAATTATTTTGTGCCATGTGTAGTCTGAGATGTAAATCAGTTAAGAAAAAATAAGATGAAATTTTAATGGTCACCATTGTTGGAAAGTGCCATTATCTGAGGATTTAACCCTATAGGCGCAGGGATCTCTACAGTCAGCCCTTGACATGATGAATTAGAAGCAGGTCTCTTAAAACAAGTTGCAAATGGTGACCTATTGGGGATTTGGTATTATAATTTTCCCTTTTATTTATAGTAGACTTTGTACCTTTTTTCTAGATAGCAATGGTTTTATATATGGATTTTCTTGCTGTTAGAGTCCCTTCATGTGGCTTTCAGTTGTTGGCAAAAGGAAAGTTTTTTTGTTTTGTTTTGGGTTTTTTTTTTTGGCTGTGGATCAAGATGTTGCTGCTTGGGCAGTGTTGGAGCAATAGTCTGTCTTATGACTTGGGAAGAGCTTTTGCACCAAAATTCTGTTGTAAAAATGATGGGTACGTTTCTAGTCTATACTATATAAAGGTAACTATTCCTCAGATATAGTCTATTAACATTTATATCACATTTTTGGAAATATGATTTCTGAATTTTAAAGAATTGATTTGCACATTTATCTTGAATCTCAACCTTTTCATAAGTCAGAGATTTCCCTTGTTCAATTTTATTAGCTGAGAAGGAATTGCTAAAAGTTAGGGAAGATTAAATCCATATCACTTAAGAAACTATTAGTCTAACAAGACTTTTTTTTTATCTTTTAAATATTGACTTTTTAAAAAATTTTTTTAATATTTGTAGACCAGATCATCAGATGTTCATTCATCTGGCTCTTCAGATGCACATGTGAGTATAAAAGACAGTCTTTTGTCTTTTTCCTTTAAAAAGTAAATATAATTTTTCTTTGTGTATATATCTCCATGCCTATGACTTTATATGGTAAGTAAATACATTTACACTGTATGCACATTTTTTTCTTTTTCCCTCTTATTTTGTGTTCTTCTTGTATAAGTTAGCCGCCTTACACCATCTTAGAAACTCAATATGTATGTTTCCTTATTTTTTTATTGTGCTTATAAAGTTTTGTGCACATATAAATGTGTGTACTTAGATACTGTGGGATTGCAAAATTTGGACACTTTTTTTTCAGTGTACATTATACCTGTTGAAATTTTCTGCATGGCAGCTGGCATGCTCTGATCTGTTTTTTCTAATGGCATCATAATGTTGGAGAAGTACAATTATTTATTAAGCTATTTTGGTGTTAGTAGACACAAACTTTTTGTTTAAAGCTTTTTGACATTTTTTTAAATTATTTTATTTATTTATTGTTATGTGGTGCTGAGGATTGAACCCAGTGCCTCACACATGCTAGGCAAGTGCTCTACCACTGAGCTACAGCCACAGCCTGCTTTTTGACATTTTGAATTGTTATTACAGCAGTTTTCACAGTGTGCTTTGTAGACCTCTAGGGGTTGTTAAGAATCTCTTCCGGGGTCTTTGAGTTCAAAACTAAAGCATTAGTTACTTTTCTCACTGTTTTGATATTTGCACTGATGATGCAAAAGCAGTTGGTGGGTAAACTATTGGCTTTTTACAGTTAAAGAATCAGGGAAGCGGTGCCAAAACCGCTAGTCATTTTGTTCCTTCCCACCAGGCACAATGAAAAATGCTAGTTTCACTTAAGAATGTTTTTAGTGAACCAATAAAATTAGTAATATTATTATTAAGTCTTGACTTGTATGTGGGTCTTTTTAATAGTGTGTGATGAAACGAGTATAACACTTATCCTTACCAAGGTGTGATGTTTGTCCTGTGGAAAATTACTTGTGTGAGATTGAGTTGGGGAATGAAGCTAGCTGCTTTTTGCATGCAATACCATTTTCACTTGAAGAAACAACTGATACATAAACTATGGTTAGTCAGACCTGGGTATTTGGTAGACATTTTCTTAAAAATGAAGAAAAGAATCTGTTTTTTAAAGAATAACAATTGATTTTTACCACTATATTTGTGCTTTCAAGTGGGAGTTAGAATTATTGAAAACTTGGCCCTGTTCTTAAGGATTTTGCTAATGATATCAAGGGTGATTGCAGCAGTATAAGGAACATGGTTTTTGGTAATCTATAATAAAATTTGTCATGACTTTCAGATCATTTCTAGTTTTCAGTATTATATACATGATTTAAAAAGAATTTTTTTTTTTTTTTTTAACTTTCCTGAAGATGGATGCATCTGGACCCTCAGATAGTGATATGCCAAGTCGGACGCGGCCTAAGAGTCCAAGAAAACATAATTATAGGAATGAAAGTGCCCGTGAGAGCCTTTGTGATTCTCCTCATCAGAATCTCTCAAGAGTGAGTATTGGTAGATAGGAAAGGATGGTTAATGATTTTAATTTATCCTTGATTGAATTTGATGATGGAATATTTGGTTTTTTACTTGTTTCATCTTGTCATGTTAGAAAATAACATTTTTTGTTAATAATAAACTCAAGTTTATATAAGAATGTTTTTTTAGTTTATATGAGATGTTTCATTTACAATGCTTAATGATATTTTAAAAACAAAGTATTTTAGATGTATGGTGGCTATTGTCAAATTTATCTTTACCCCCTTGTTCATTGAACCAAGTGCCAAATACCAGTCACTGGAAATATATAGATGATTAAAACTTAGTCCTCATTCTTAGAGAGCTTATGGTCTTACCCTGGGAAGCAAGTAGGAGCAGGTGCTGTCTGTTGGTAAGTGTAATGCCTGGGGCATTCAGGAATAGAGAGAGGGAACATATTTTCTCCTGCATCTGCAAAATACTCTTGGGCTTTTTTAGTTTTTAATTTATTTAACATAACTTTTTTTCTGATTAAATTCAGAAAATATAATAATATAATCATCACCAGCTAGTCTAAAGCATCAGTGACACGTTTTTTATTGTTTAATATTTCTAAGCATAAATATTTCTGAGATCCATTTTACAGCAACACGTCTTTAAAATATCCTGTTTTCAATCTAATGTTTTTTTTCATTTCAGTAAAACTCTGTAAACAAACTTTTCAGTGGATGAGTGTTATTCCTTTGAGTAAACACTCTTTGATTTCCTTAGCTATTTCTCTCTTGGATGTCTAAATGTAGCTCTTCAGATATAAATAAAGCTTGAGCGCAGAAATTTTGTTTTGTTAAATTATGGTTTTCATCGAATTTAAATGTAATTTTATCATTCATTTAAACTTTTGAAGATGATTCCAGAAACACTGAATGATAGCAAAATATTTTTCTTTCCACTTTGAGGGGGAAAAATTATTTTAAATCTGTTTCTGAAACCCAGCATTAACTTTCAGCTTATAAACTGCTTTCTTTTTCTCAAGGGGACTTCATTTTTAATTAAAATAATTTTTTTTTTTTTTTGGTATTGGGGATTGAATTCAGGGGCGTTTAACCACTGAGCCACATCCTCAACCCCTTTTATATTTTATTAAGAGATAGGGTCTTGCTAAGTTGCTTAGGACCTCACTAAGTTGCTAAGGCCGGCTTTGAAGTTGCAATCCTTTTGCTTCAGACTCTGGATCTGCTGGGATTACAGGCCTGTGCCACTGCGCCTGGCTATTTGAAAAAATTGTTTTTGTGGTGCCAGATAATGAACCCAGGCCTCATTCATGCCAGGCAGTGCCTTACCCCTTAGCTATATTTTCAGTCCCAGAAACCTTCAAATTTCAATATTTTACGTTGTGTTTAATAAAGAGTTCTATCTTTTAAGTTTATGAATCAAATGAGTAACTGATTGAGCAACTAGAAGTCTTCAGACAATATATTTACGCCTATTTTAGAAAGAAATTCCATCTAAGTTACATATATGAAGACTTCATTAAAATGTTATTTTCTTATGTATATTGAGTGTCCCTTATCTGAAGTGTTATGCATTTTGAGTTTTTTCAGATTTTGGAATATTTGCATATACATAATGCATTACCCTTGGGGATGGGACCCAAGTCTTAAACAAGAAATTTATTTAGGGCTGGGGTTGTAGCTTGGTGGTAGAATACTCACCTAGCTTGTGTGAGGCACTGGGTTCCATCCTCAGCTTCACATAAAATAAATAAATAAAATAAAGGTATTGTGTCCATCTATAACTAAAAAAAATTTAAAAAGAAATTCATGTATGTTTTATATAAATTTTATACTTATAGCCTGAAGATAATTTTGCTTAATCCTTTTATTGGGTACCTAGGTTTTGACCATGACTAGTCACACGAGATCAGGTGTGGAATTTTCCACTTATGGCATCATATTGATGCTCAGAAAGTTTCCAATTTGGTATGCTCAATGTGTATTCAAATTAATTGATGCAGTTTTACTTGAGATGAAATATAAAATTAAGTGATATGTTTCCAGCAAAGAAAAATAAGATTATGTTCATAAATACATTACTGGTGAAGAATGAGGTAACTTACTAAATACATGATATATTTATAGTATCTTGAAATGGAGGGCTATAGATGGTTAATTCCTGAACCATAGAAAAATGTATCCCTTCCTCTGTATTTGAGGATCTGTTTTTTTTTTTTTTTTAATCATTGCTACTTTTGCCCAGAGACTTACATTTTCCCTCTTCAGGTGCTTTTATTCTTGCCCTATACCTTGGTGTCAGTCTGTTTGTTCTGTTTTTACCTTAAAGAGGAACAAAAAGGCCTTGAGATGCTGTTGATCTTGAGCTAGCAAATAAACCATTCTTTAATGAATAGGTACTTATATCAGAGTCAAGTCCAAGGCAGGCACCTAATACTAGAGTAGTCCTAACTTTTCTTTACGGTTAATTAAAAAAAAAAAATAGCCTGTCTCAGAGACTTGGTTATCAGTTGAGGTGTATTAAATTTAAAGATAGCATTAAGAATGTGTATGTAAAGACATGCTCTTTATTTCTTCTCATAGCCTCTTCTAGAAAACAAACTTAAAGCATTCAGCATTGGAAAAATGAGCACAGCTAAGCGAACTTTAAGTAAGAAGGAACAAGAGGAATTAAAGAAAAAGGTAATGTTTAAAATATATCTTGAATTATCCTTCAAAATGTGAGTGTGTCTTAAGGGCAGCACAGCAATGTTTCCCAAAGATTTTTGACTTCAGGGGTATTCTCAGTTCATCCCCAAGAGAAAGTCTGTCCCAGGAAGGTGTATTAGAGGTATATTCACTTTCCATCCCTGTCCCTTTTGACCTATTTCCTCCCTTGTATGTAACAATTTTTTTTTTTTCTGATCTTTCTGTATAGGGAAGTGTGTTGTGTGCATAAATTGTACCCCTCTTAGAGGAATGACAGCAAGCTATATATATAGAATACTGCATGTTGCTTTTTAAAAAGTTTATATCATAGGTATTATTATGGAAATATTTATTATCCTTTTTAAACAGCTATGCAGATATGCAATTGTTTATTCACATAAAAAATTACTGAGGGCATTTGTGTTTTGGTCTCTTGCCATTACACGTAATGCTGTGCTATTATGGATAGTGTTATGCATGTGTTTTTTTTGTTTTGTTTTGCTAGTGTATCTTTGGGATATATTCCTAGGATGAAAACTACTAGGCTGAATAATAAATGCATAAATGTAGTTTTGCTATATTTGTCATATTGTCAAAAATCTCTATAGGGTGGGGGGTGTTTTGATTCCTATGAGTAGATGTGAGTGGTTGTTTCCCAACGGCTTTGCAAGTAGATGACATTAAAGATACTTTGTCAGTCTCCTAGGTGAAAATAATTTCTTGGTATAGTTTCAAGTTTGCATTTCTCTTATGATAAACTTGACCCGTTTTCCTTTCTTTTCAACTGTCTGCTAATATCTGAACTATAAGTTTCTACTAGCACTTTGTTTATGATTTAACTTGCAATGGTTTTTATCCCCTAGTTTTTTGATTCTTTTAAAAATTTCCTTCTGATATTGTAATATAATCAATCTTTCCCTATGATTTCTGATTTTTCAGTTGTTTTCTCCATTCCTAGCTTATAAAGGAATTTCCTCATGTTTTCTTCTAGTACTTCTATATTTAATTTTAAGAAAATCAAATTGATTCATCTGCAGTTTATCTGGTAACATCATGTAAAAAGTTGATTGATTTTTATCTTTTTCAAATGGTTGTCCAGTTATCCTAGCATCATTTATTGAAAAGTTCATGTATTTCTCACTGTCCCTTTGACCTGTTTCCTCCCTTGTATGTAACAATTTTGAGATATTCCTCTTATAAATAGTAAATTTTTACATGCTGTTAATTAAATTTACCTATTTTCTGTCCTGTTTTCTTTTTATTCATACATGCTTTGGGAACATTTAAAATATCTATAATTGAAAATGTCAAGGTTCATTTTTTCTTCAGTGTTATGTGTCTGGAATAGATTGTTGCTTTTACTTCATATATTATATCTTCATTAGTTTGAAAAGGAAATCTTTATATTCACTGAATTAAGTCATCATGCCTTGGAAACTTTGTAAATGTTAGTTGTATTACATGCAGTCAGTTGTTTTATGGTTTGGCCCTTGGATTGTCCCTAAGCAAATTTACTTGCTGGTCTATATGTAGTGGGTTCTTTTCTGTTCTACCAATTGCTACTAAAGGAGCAGAGCTTCTTTTAGTTTTAGTATTACTTAATATCTAATATCTATTAAAACTTAGATATTACAACTATAAATATTTAACTTGAAAAGGGAAGTGTTTTATCTTCATTATTACTTGATGAGTTTAATCACATATACAATAATACTTTTATAATATGTTATTAATATTTTGTTATGTATTTAGGAGGATGAAAAGGCAGCTGCGGAGATTTATGAGGAATTTCTTGCTGCTTTTGAAGGAAGTGATGGTAATAAAGTGAAAACATTTGTGCGAGGGGGTGTTGTTAATGCAGCTAAAGGTGAGTGTCAGTATTTTAGTCCTTGAGCAAATCCTGTCTTGGTTGAATGACTGCAGGTAGATAATTATGGAAGAAGCCTGACTGCTTTGACTTTCCCATTTCCTTTCTATTAGCACCCTCTAGTGGTTATATTAATTAGCAAAATCAATGGCCAGATGTGACTTAGTAAGGTGATATTGAAGCCAGATAATTAAAAAAAATTAATACGTTTCAAGATTTAAGATAGCCAAGCACTTTGCAAAAATTTTAATGTATTTAATAGTTTACTGTAAAGTGAGTATATATTTTGGGGGTATGGTGGTATTTCAATTTAATTACATGTTAACAGTGATAAATCTTAGTACTAATACTGTTAATTTTTGTTTATTTTTAAATAAGAATAGTAAAGAAAATCAAATAGTATAAAATTAGTTTTGAAACAGCATTTTACATTTCAGAAGAACATGAAACAGATGAAAAAAGAGGTAAAATCTATAAGCCATCTTCAAGATTTGCAGATCAAAAAAATCCTCCAAATCAGTCGTCCAATGAAAGACCACCATCTCTTCTTGTAATAGAAACCAAAAAACCTGTAAGTCATCCTTAAATAATTTAGGTTCAAAGATGACACTCCCAGTGATACTTTCAGTACTACCACTGTAAGCAGTTTGTTTTTAATTTTGGGGGGGTAGATGTTGAGTTCTCATGTTTTCTAACCCAGTAATTTATGTAGATGAGAGATTATAAGAGTAGACCACATAGATGAACATTGTTTGTTGTACTTACACATTACATATATTGCAAGTCAAAAGTTGTCTGCATTTGGGGTATAAATGTAAAATAAAGAAGTTAGCTTTAGAATAAATTCTGAACTGAGGTATTTAAATTATTAACAGTGTGTAGTGTATGTTTTCCAAGGCATTTTTGAACTTTTTTGTGGAATTGCTATCAGAATTAGTGACACTGTATCTTAAATATTCTCAGTGTTTATAAAAATTTGTATTCTTTGATGGTGGGGTTTTTATGGGGAATAGTAGATAGGTAGATGTGGGTAATGTCATTTGAAGCCATATTTGGTGAGTAAGTATGATTAAATTGAACAGTGAGATTGATTTTTTTTTCCAGTTTTTATTTTTGTTTCCATATTTTTTGTTGGTACATTACAATTATATATAATAGGTTTATGACGTTCATACATGTATACTATTTGACAGTATAGTTACGTCAGTATCATTCCTGAGTTTTTCCCCTTTCTTTCTTCTCCCCCCCTCTACCTGGTACATTTCCTTTATTTTTTGGTCTCCTGTTTTTATGAGACATCTATACCCTACCATTTGTTTTTTCTATTTTCCCTATCTTTCACATGTGAGAGAAAACATGATCCTTGACTTTCTGAGTTTAGCTTATTTTGTTTAACATAATGCTCTCAAGTTCTATCCATTTTCTTGCAAATGACATAATTTCTTTCTTCTTTATGGCTAAATAAAATTTGTTTATATATATCACATTTTCTTTACTCATACATTCATCGATGGGCACATAGGATGGTTCCACAGTTTGTCTGTTGTGAATTGTACTACAATAGACATGAGTATTTGTGTGTTGTATTGTTACTTTAATTCTTTAGTATAAATACTAAGGAGTGGTATACCTGGGTCATATGGTAGTTCCATTCCTAGACTTTTGGAGGAACCTCCAACTTGATTTCCACAGTGTTGTACTAATTTACAATTCCACCAAGTGTAAAGGTGCTTTTTCTACACATCCTTTCCTGCATTATTATTGGGTGTATTCTTTTTTTTTTTTTAATATATTTTTTTTTTAGTTGTAGATGGACACAATACCTTTATTTTTATGTGGTGCTGAGGATTGAACTCAGTGCCTTCCCACATGCGAGGAAAGCACTCTTACCACTGAGCTACAACTCCAGTCGCCTTGTGTGTATTCTCTTTTTAAAAAAATGTTTATTTTTTAGTTGTAGTTGGACACAATACCTTTATTTATTTATTTTTATGTGGTGCAGAGGATTAAAGCCAGGGCTTCGCATGTGCTACGCGAGTGCTCTACTGCTGAGCCACAACCCCAGACCCCTTGTGTGTATTCTTGATGGATGCCATCCTAAGTGGAATGAGATGAAATCTCAGTGTAGTTTTGATATGCATTTCCCTAATTTCTAATGATGAACATTTTTTCATATTTACTGTCCATTTGTATTTATTATTTCTTTTGAGAAGTATCTGTTTCGTTCATTTACCCATTTATTAATTGGGTTATTATTATTTTTTTAGTTCTTTATTCTGATATTAATCCTCTGTCAGAAAAGTAGCTTGCAAAGATTTTTAAGGAGTCCTATTGAGAGGGTTGTTGTGTGCACCTAGATGTTAGAGTGTTGACCCTGTGTTTTCTTCTAGGAATTGCATAGTTTCTAGTCTAATTTCTAGGTCTTTGATCTATTTTGAGTTGACTTTTGTGTGAGGGGCGAGAGAGAAGGATCTAGTCTCATTCTTCTACATGCGGATAGCTAGTTCTCAACACTATTTGTTTAAAAGGCTCTCTTCAATGTATATTTTTGGCATATTTGTCAAGGATCAGATGACTATATGTGTGTGGGTTTGTCTTCGTGTCTTATATTCTGTTCCATTGGTCTATATGTCTGCTTTTATGCCAGTACCATGCAGTTTTTGTTACCATGGCTCTGTAGTATAATTGGAAGGCAGGTATTATGCCTCCAGCATTGCTTTTTTTTTTTTTTTTTTTTGGCTTAGAAGTGCTTTGGCTTGTCTGGGTCTTTTATTCTTCCAAATGACTTTTAGGGCTATTTTTTTCTAGTTCTGTAAAGAATGTCATTAGTATTTTGATGAGGATTGCATTGAATGTGTTAATTGCTTTTGGTAATATGGTCCTTTTATTAATGTTGATTTTACACTTCCATCTTCTAGTGTCTTTTAAAATTTTCTTTCATCAGTTTTCTATACTTTTCATTGTCAAAGTCTTTCTCTTCCTTGGTTAGATTTATTCCTAGATATTTTATTTTTTGAGGCCATTGTGAATGGAATTATTTTCCCTATTTCTTTCTCAACAGATTCATTGGTGATGTATGAGAAAGCTATTGATTTTTGTATGTTGATTTTGTATCCTGTGAGGCTGAGTTTTCTTGTGGTGTTTCAGATACTCCAAAGTATTTAAAAAATAATTATTGACAAAATCTGTCCTTTTAAGGTGTACAATTAGGTGGTTTTTTAGTATATTCATGGTTGTTCAATGGTCCCCTCTCTCCAATTTCAGAACATTTTTATCACTCGCCAAAGAAATTCTGTGCCCAGAGTTAGTTGTCCCCATTTCCCTCATACTCTCAGCTCTTAGCAAGCACTGATCTACTTTCTATCCCTATTCTGAGCAGTTCATACAGATGGGATCATCAACATGGTATTTTGGGTGTGGCTTCTATTCTCAGCATGTTTCAAGGTTCATCTTTCTTGTGGCATGTATTAATATTTCAGTCCTTTTTTGTGGTCAAACAATATTCCACTCTATGATATACCACATATTGTTTATCCATGTGGTACTTGATGGGTTCATTACTTTATGGGTTGTATCCCCTTAACAGGTGTTACTATTAAAAAAAAAAGAGTAATACGGCTGTAAATATTTATATATGGCTTTTTGTGTGGGTGTAGGTTTTTAGTTCTTGTTAAATTCCACATATGGAATTACTGGGTCACATAGTGACTCTCTGACCTTTTGAGACACTGCCAAACTGTTTTCCAAAGTTTTGTAATCTTGCCTGTAATGTATGGTTCTAATTTCCCCGTATCTTAACCAGCACTTGTTAAAATTATTTCTGTCGTCTTTGTGAAGTTGTACCTCATTTTTATTTTGAGACACATTTACCTAATGATGTTAAGCAGCTATCTTTTCATGTGTTTATTGTCCATAATCTTTGAAGAAATAGCTATTCAAATCCTTGGCCCATATTTTAATTGGATTGTCTTTTTATTTTTGAGTTTTTAGAGTATTTTATATTTTCAGGAATCAAGTTTCTTACTGGCTCCATGGTTTGTAAATGATTTCTGTTCTGTGGCTTGGCTTTGCCCTTTTTCTGCGGGTGGGGGTGATGAATACTGGAAATTGAACCCTGAGGTACTTTACCACCGAGCCTCACCCCCAGCCCTTTTTATTTTGGGACAGGATCTCACTAAGTTACTTAGGGCCTCACTAAGTGAGACCGTCTTGAACTTGTGATCCTCCTACCTCAGACTCCTGAGCTGCTGGGATTACAGGCATGTGCTGCTCTACCCGGCTACTCTTCTCGATTGAAACATGGAATTGGAAAATTTTAATTAAATGTTGTCATTTGTGCTTTTGATATCATATATCTAAAAAAATCATTGCCTAATTCAGTGTCATAAAGATGACATTATTCCTGTTTTCCTCTAAGAATTTTATGGGTTTTGCTCTTACATTTAGGTCTATTTGCTATTTTGAAATAATTTTGCATATAATGTGAAGTAGGGGTATATCTTCATTCTTCTGCATGTAGGTAATTTATTGTCCTAGCACCATTTGTCGAAAAGACTATTCTTCCCCATTGAATTATCTTGGTAGTAGATTTTACTCATTGTTTCAGTAATTTATATCCTCCAAAAGTGATTGCTTTGAATTGCGCATATTTTCAGCAGTTGTTTATGGCAGTTATTTTACATGGCAGTTCATTTCATTTACTTACTGTTCTTGAATTCCATGCCTCACATACTTTTTTCAGGACCACTTATTAGTAGCTTTTTTATTCACTAAGACTACTACTTGTTGTTGTTTTAACTAATCATTTTAATAACTTAATTATTTACTTGTTGTTTTGGGGGAACAGGAAGAATATAGGGAATATTCAATAACAGAAGTATTCTCCCTTTTGAATTTAAATAACTAGAATATGTAATGAAACTGAAGTAAAAATTATTTAAATATGATTTCGTACAACAGTTTTTTTGAAATCTTATTTTGTTTGAATTGTCATTGTCATAGCCACTGAAGAAAGGGGAGAAAGAAAAGAAAAAAAGCAACTTGGAACTTTTCAAAGAAGAATTAAAACAGTAAGTTTTATAATAAGAAGAACTATCATAGGTATATTGAACTGATACTTAGAAATACAGGTATGAGGAATATAGTTATTATTAACAGCTTGCTATGAGGTTATTTTAGATCTCGTAAAGATATTTGATGGAGCATATTTGAAATGAATTAGCATTTAGTCCAGCATCAAGGTTGCTTGGATTATGTGGATGCAGTTCTTTTTATTTAATGACTGGAGTTCTATTTGCAGTAGAAGCAGTGAACTCACTGGTGTAGGAGTGAGGGGTGGTTAAGCATAACAAGAAACAACAAATTCAGTGGTTTTAATGTTCAATTTCCTCTTTACCTTAAAAGTGGGCTTTGTTTTCCATCACTGGAATGATAGAAATAGGGACTGTCTAATCTTGGTTATCATTACAATATTTGAGTTAAATACAATATTTCAGGCTATTTGAAGGTGACACTTGGATAGACTCTATTATTAAATGTGAATAAGCGAATTGTGGCTCATTTTTATTGGTTGTAAATATTTTTAATAGAATTCAAGAAGAGCGTGATGAGAGGCATAAAACAAAAGGCAGGTTAAGTCGATTCGAGCCGCCTCAGTCAGATTCTGATGGTCAGCGTCGTTCTAGTAAGTGACATTTATTTTATTGTGTGTATTTGTACTTAATTATACTGACAATTAAGAATTATTTTCTTTCCTTTCTTTTAAGTGGACGCGCCTTCCAGGAGAAATCGATCATCTGGTGGTAATACCGTTTTTTTGCTTTTTTAATTAATAAGAAATTATCCAAGCTTTGTGTTTTGGAAGTTATAATTTTTTTTTCTTTTTTTCTCTAGTTCTTGATGATTATGCACCAGGCTCACATGATGTAGGCGATCCAAGTACTACTAATTTATACCTTGGAAACATTAATCCACAGGTAATATTAGTTAAATAATATTTTTTTTTTTTTTAGAGAGAGAGAGAGAATTTTAATATTTATTTATTTTTTTTAAATTTTCGGCGGACACAACATCTTTGTTTGTATGTGGCGCTGAGGATCAAACCCGGGCCGCACGCATGCCAGGCGAGCGCGCTACCGCTTGAGCCACGTCCCCAGCCCCGTTAAATAATATTGCTTTATGCTTAGGAAGAAAATTGCTTTCTTAGTCAATACAAAAATAAAATCAAGACTGGCGTAGTGGTGGATGCCTTTAATCCCAGCAGTTTGGGAGGCTGCGACAGGAGGATTGTGAGTTCAAAGCCAGCCTCAGCAACTTAGCAAGGCACTAAGCAACTCAGTGAGACCCTGTCTCTAAATAAAATACAAAGTAGGGCTGGGGATGTGGCTCAGTGGTTGAGTGCCCCTGAGTTCAATTCCAGTACCCCCAACCCCCACCTCCAAAAAAAAAAAAAAAAATCAAGATTCTGAAATTTGCAAATCAGATGGAACTAGAGAGGCTCTAAAATTATCTTGTAGATTTGGGACTTATTAGTATGGCCCAAATTGTTTTGCTGCAAATTCTTGAGGGCTTGTCTCCTCTTTCAGTAACTGGGACTATACTCTGAATATGGAATGTTTTGCTAGGTGCCAGTTTTTTTATTTATCAAATCAGACTATGACCAGTGATGTCCATATTTTTATAATACCTAATACATAGCTTACTTTTCTTTTTTGCTTCTAACAGCAAACTAGTATTTGTGGTTTTATCTTTAATATTTAATTATTTTCCTGCTTCGATGTTGTTATTTATGTTATGGGACTTGTAGTGGTATTGTACAGAATATTCTTTTGAAAAATTACAATTGGGCATGGTGGCACTTGCCTGTAATCCCAGCAGCTCAGGAGGCTGAAGCATGCAGATTGCACTTTCAGAGTCAGCCTCAGCAACCTAGCAAGGACTTAAGCAATTTTGCAAGATCCTGTCTCAAAGTAAAAAAGGCCTGGATGTTGCTCAGTGGTAAAGCACCTCTGGTTTCAATTCCCAGTACCAAAACAAATAAACAAAACTTACAGATACTTTTGAGCTGGGTGTGATGGTCTACATCTGTAATTCCAGTGACTCATGAGGCTTGAGTCAGAAGGTTTGCAAATTTGAGGACAGCAATTTAGCAAGATCTGTCTCAAAAAAATAAAAGGGCTGAAGATGTGGTTTGATGGTAGAACAGCCCTGGGTTCAATCCCCAGTAACACACACACCAACCCCCCCCCCCCCCCCCCCCCGCCCAAAACCAAAAAACAAAGGGAAACAAAACACCTATTAGAATATTTGACCTTATTATATATTCACTGATTTGTTTCCCTGCTCTTGGTTTATACTAGTGAGAAGTAGTTTGATGTTGGAAGGTGGTTTTTTCTTTCATCATCAACAAATATTTCCTTTTAAATGTGCTAATTATTCCTGCCTGAAAAATGCTGCTAAATGCCTAGACATAGAAACCATCATTGTAGAACAGGTTACTTAGATTCTAAAATATTAAAACAGAAAGAAGGGAGTTAAATATGCTTTTTGTTCTCTTCAGCCACTCAGCCTTCCTACCCTGGCATCTTATTTAAGTGAAATAGAACGTTTGTGATTTGAAAATAAGTGTGAGTGCCCCAGGAGTGCAGGATTTTACCTTTGTAGATTTTCTGGTGTGTGAAGGGAGAATTGTTGCATTAATATGTTGATTTTCATTTTTGCAAAATTTACTTTGCTTTCTATTGGCACAGAATTGTCTTTTTTTTTTTTTCAAACCAAAAAACCCTTAATGCCTTTTCATAGATGAATGAAGAAATGCTGTGCCAAGAATTTGGAAGATTTGGACCATTAGCTAGTGTGAAAATTATGTGGCCTAGAACTGATGAAGAAAGAGCAAGAGAAAGAAATTGTGGCTTTGTGGCCTTTATGAATAGAAGAGATGCTGAAAGAGCTTTAAAAAATTTAAATGGTAAGAAAGTTTTATAATTATTCACTTAATAGAATTTAGACATTTCTTTGGTTTGTAAAAGTAGTTATGTAAACTCCAGTGAGGAATGAAGAGGTTAAAAATGAAATATAATTCAAATAACCAGATATACTTTATTTTCTTTAGAGACTTAGGAGAGTGACCTTTCTTTTCTTCCTTTGTAGGAAAAATGATTATGTCTTTTGAAATGAAGTTAGGTTGGGGTAAAGCTGTACCTATTCCTCCACATCCAATATACATTCCGCCTTCTATGATGGAACATACACTTCCCCCACCTCCATCCGGACTGCCTTTTAATGCGCAGCCTAGAGAACGGTTAAAAAACCCCAATGCTCCCATGTTACCACCACCTAAAAACAAGGAGGATTTTGAGAAGGTAATTTAAAAAATGTACATAGGGCCGTATCTAATTTGTAAATACTAAATCTGTGGTAGTGTTTCTTTTCAACAATTTTATAGAAAATGTGTGTGTAATTCTGTTTGGCAACTTCTTAAAGAAATAAATAGATGTGTTCCCTGCCTTAGCCCATGGAAACCCTGTATTGAAATACTAGGTCACATTTTTATTTGTGGCTACCATTCCTTTTTTGACCACTTGTTAAGTTTTTTTCTCCCCCTTTGTCCAGTGTTGTATCCAGGTTTGCTTAAGTGCAGTATCTAAATTTATTTTGTTCTGAGAAAGTGATAGTTTTTATTTGGTTAAGTGACTTATCAATTAGAAAGATCACCTAAATAGTTAAATTGTTTGGATGGCAGCTAGCTAACTCTCGAGGTTTGAGGTATTAGAATATTTGAGATTATATGTGGTATTTTTAAAAAGTTAATCTAGTAAAAAGCAAAGGGTGAGTATTTCTCTTTATTAAACATAAAACCAACTGAATTTCAAGTTATAAGAATCTGTTGGTTCTGTTGTGACTTAATTACACTTAAAATGACAGGGCTGGTTTTAAAGGCTTGGGAACAAAGTAGCAAACTGTATGATCAGAGGCAAACAGCTAATTATTTCACAAATTAAAATCTTTATCTGATAATTCTCAGTGTAGTACCTATTTCAGTGCATTGATGTGCATTCTGGCAGGAATGTTCTGATTCTTTGCATTTGGTGAACATTTATTGTTCACTGAACACATCCATTTGCATTTATGTAATTGCTTAGTGTATAATTACTTCAAATGCAGTGATTGCCTGCAAAACTTGTGATTAGATGTGTAGTATTTTCAATGCATATGTATATTTTTGCTTGTTACTTGTTAACAATACTCACATATTCTATGTTTATTATCTGATGTGACTTCATATACAGACTCTGTCGCAAGCCATAGTCAAAGTGGTTATCCCAACAGAAAGGTACATGTTTTTCTTTATTATTACTGATCTAAATATAGACAATATCCCCTTCTGAATTTAAAAAAAAATGGTGTTGAGGAAAAGGTAATATCTTGACTGAGCAATGGTTCCTTCCCAGTACTTTTTGGGGGGGATGTATGAAATTTAATTAACTTTAGTATGCTTTGCAATTTCATGTCATTATCTTTTGTTTTTATTGTTATTAATGTAGAGAATTTTTATAGCTTTAGAGTTAGAAAATGTTTAATAGATTTAATGTGGAGTTGTTCTAATGTTAGATGTTATAATGGGCAAATAGGTGTTTTAAATAAAACATCTTAAATTTTAGATAATGTTATAATTTGACCCAATCTTTTTTTTTTCCCTTCTTCTTTGATTTCTGAATTAGCCACATTTAATGTACAACTTTGGTTTGCATTCTCCTTACTGAGGGCATAGTTTTATTTATTTTTTCCTAATTAATTTTAAGAAGAAATTCCTAATATTTTTGTGAACACTGTATTTATTAGAGTCTTTTTTCCATGATAATATAGGTGTTTGGAATTCTTTTATTTTTCTTTCTTCCTTTTTTTCCTTTCTCAATATATTATCAATGCAGAAGAATTCATACTCTAGGTATGCTCTTGCTCAGTCAAGCTAAGCCTTTTCCCAAACACAGGAACACAACACTGGTTGAATAATAAATGAACACAAAAGAATACCAAATTCTCTTTGACATTGGCCTTGGTGAGCAACACCAGCTGAACTGTCTGCGGCAGCGGGGGACCAGGAAAACATCATGGGATGGATTGGGAAAGTATACAGTTTTTGACCAGACATTGGTACGATCGACTCCAATAAATGTGGTTTTATTATAACTGAGAGACAATTTTTTTGTTTTTTGTTTTTTTTTGTTGTGGTTTCCCAGAATAAGATAATTACCATTTTAAAATAAAATAATGCACTTTAAAATATATTATCTTTTTGTACTACACTGTTTTATCCTGATAGAAAGTCAACATTTTTTAAAAAATAAGGAAATTACAAAATTCTTAAGGAAAAAAGTGTGATTACAATTCTTTAATAATCTTGAATTCAAGTTAGCAACTACTAATTGTCAGATTTTGATTTTAAATAATCATGAAACATTTAAAAACTTTTAATTTTGTAAAAATAGATTTTACCAGTTACAAGCCTGTTTAAAACTATAGTGGGTTTTTTTTTCCACTAATAAAGCATTCACAGGAAAGTATTTTTTGTAATATTCAAAAAACATATATCCCATAGTAGCTTTACTTGTGGCTCAGCTTATTTCTAAACAAAATTTTGAGTATACATTTTACTGAAAAGTCTTGACTCACCATTAGAGTGAACCCTTTGGTTTTAAACTTGCTAAACCATTTTTCATCTATCTTTAATACTGAAGTCAAGTTGCTTTTGACTTAATTTATACAAGTTTCTGGGTGTATTGTGTTTGTCCACCTAGTAAATGGTCTTATATATTATGATGTATAAAATTTCCCTTTACTTTAATTTGGCTCACAGCAGTGGGAATTTTGGAATGAATCATAATTTTACAGTATCTCCCTTTCTTCAAAGTAATGTCATTAATTTTATGGATGCTGAGAATACATTCTCATTTGGATATCAACTGCATATTTGCAGAACTATTAATACTTCTATGAAGGAAAATAATTTTTTAAATTTAAAATTAAGTGATTTTTGTTTTTAGTTTTAACAATTTATGGTTGAATTAATAGTTTTAAATATATAGTTGCCCCTTTGTTAAGATTTACACCTGCATATAATTTTTTACCTCCTTTAGAATTAAATTATTTTTTTACTATGTAGAGATTTTAGCATCCACTTAAGTAGGTTTGTTTGAAAACTGTGAGAAAATAATTATAGTCAACATAAGATAGGTTATTTTACTGTCCATGTACTCTGAAACAGGGAGTTATATACAGCCAAAAAAAAAAAAAAATCCGTCTTGTTCTATAACTATATTTATATTCTAGCAGTTATATGAACTTAATTTGAACTGGGAATGCTAAAGATGTAACTTTAAATGTGTGCCTTATACCAAGAGCCAATATCCTTTTGCTTTTCCCAATTGTTGTTTGCCAGCTCTGTATGCTGGGCAGCTGGTGAAATGAGAAATTATAAGTAGCTTATAAGTAAGCTGAGTCATTTTTACCTGGTAGTATCATCAATGTCTGAAATTGTGTTTGGAGTCTTTTATTAGACATTTTAGCTTCAGATTAAAAAAAAAAAATCAGTAAAGGCCTTCTAAAAATTCAGAGAATAAATGACTGTAGGAAAAAGTTATGTATATTTATTTTTGGCTTAAATATTTGAACATCATGGTTATGAAGAATGGGAAGGGCATCTCACCATGTCCCCCAGTTTGGAAAGAGTAGGACTCCATTCACTTAAGGCTTTGGCAGTATAATTTCTTCATTGATTCTTAACATGTAGGCAGAGTTGTACATGCCATGAATTGTGAACTAGTTTGAAGTGTGCTTCAAAGGGATGTTGCCTCATTAAAGGTCAGATTTAATAAAAACTCCATCTAGTATAATGTGTACCAGAAAAGCACAGGAATTGGATGGATTTTTCATTAAATCAGGCCTTAAATTTGACATGTAGTTTTGCATTTTCATAAATTATAGTCATGGTTATAACATTTCAATACAACTACAAAAGTGCTTGGATTAGGAATATTTTCTTTTAAAACAGATAGTATGTAAATTTTAGTGGTTATAATATGCAAGTTATAAGTTACTGGTTTTATATATTTACAGCTTTCCAATTAGTTGTGATTCAGGATTTAATGTTTTGCATTTGAAAAATAAAATTAAGTGACATTTAGAAAATTAAACTTCTATTACTATGAGGCTTTGTTGTGGTTTCCCACCCTCCCTTCACCTTTCCCACCTTCCCGCTCCCCTACCCCCACTGTCCCATTCCCTCTTAATGCACAAGGCATTATCATATGCTCCAGGTTGCTTTTTTGGTATTAAATTCTGTTTTAGTCAGCAGAATGATCTTTTTCTGCTCAATTGTAGTAATTTAGGTCAAGTATAGTTTTATATAGTGGTAGGTCTGAATCCATTTTCTTTAACTGTGTTGTTGTTGTAGGAATTTGCTCGCCCTGATACATCGAATGATAGAGTTTGTTGTACGTGAAGGGCCAATGTTTGAAGCTATGATTATGAACAGAGAAATCAACAATCCTATGTTCAGGTGTGTATTGTTTAAATTGTGGTACTATAACATAAAATTTACCATTATAATCATTTTTAAGTGTATAGTTTAGTGCCTTTTAAATCCATTCACATTGTTGTGTTAGTAACCATGACTATTATCCATCTCCAAAACTTTTTTCATCTTCCAAACCTGAAATCCTGTACCCGTTAAATAATAACTCTCCATCTCCCCAGCTCTGTATCCTCACAACCATTGTTCTACTTTATATCTCTCTGAATTTGGCTTTGGGTATCTCATATAAGTGAAATTGTATGATATTTTCAGGTGTGTATTTTTAAACTGCTTTTAGGAATTAAGAATAAAATTTTAGAGTACAAGATTATTTTTGCAAAAGGATAAGTCAGTTGTTGATTAGAATGCTTAGATCAGTTTTTTTTTTCTACCACATTTTGATTTAGTTAAATAGCATTGTTTTTAGCATTGTCTAGGAGAAAAATACTTTTCATTATGTTTTCAATGAAAGACACTTTCATAAACTATAGTTAAACGAGTTTGAAAGGAAATTGTTTATTTTCTGAATTGCTATGGTATCTAAGACATTAATTTAACACTCTTTTAAGTAGTGTAAAATCACTACTTTTGAAATTACATGTTGAGAAAAATCTCTCCATTGCCTGACACAGCAGCTGACCTATAAGTGTTCCATATAAATCATTGTAAGTCCCAGCAAGAAACATGCCTTTTAAGTATTGAACTCGATCATTAATGTGGTCTGGAGTTGGGACAGCAGGGAAGGGGTAAGGAACAGATGGCAAAATATAAGGAATTTTGGGGGGTCTCTTGATTGTAGTTGTTTTTTAGAACTAAATGGGCAAATAATATTTATCATTTGTTTATATTTAGTTGAAGGTAGCCCTTTCTAAAAGAATATGATGTCTATAATGTTTTTGTTTTGTTTTGTTTAGGTTCTTATTTGAAAACCAGACACCTGCCCATGTTTACTACAGGTGGAAGCTTTATTCCATTCTGCAGGCAAGTAGAATTAATTGCTTTATTAATTTCACTCTTGAGTTATTAGACCTTTCTAATAACTTCCTGGAATTTTTAGGGAGATTCTCCAACTAAATGGCGGACAGAAGATTTTCGTATGTTCAAAAATGGATCTTTTTGGAGGCCACCACCATTAAATCCATACCTTCATGGAATGTCAGAAGAACAAGAAACAGAAGCTTTTGTAGAGGAACCTAGTAAGAAGGGAGCACTCAAGGAAGAGTAAGATGCTTTTTCTTTCTGTTATATATTCAGAAAAGTCACTTTGCTTTAATTAATAGTTTTATTGGTATAACCCTAAAATACAATGATTTTCTACTTGTGAATATTTAAAATATTAACATCTTTCATCATATGCTTTATAATTTTAAACATTATGGCAAATATATATGTCTGTCCTACTGACCGTGTCCTGTGCCTGGTGATAAAACTATTGATGATCTCTTAAACATGATTGATTTCTTTCTCTGGCATTAGAATACTTCAGACTCTTACAGGAATTATCTAGGGACCCTTAGAATTCTTGCCTCTTTGAGTGCAACATAAAGAGGAAAAATTACTGTGTGGTTAGGAAGGGGTCAGATGTTGACTATGCAAAGTCTTTCATAGAGCTTACAGTGTGTGAGCTGTGAGATGGCTGCCATGCAAACATGTTATTAGTGCTCACTCAGCCCTGGTAAATGCAATTAGCCTGATTTAAAAAGCAGAAACATATTTATTAAATATTTGGAGGATGCTCCATATATCTCATAGGGAAAAGTTAGCTAAAAGAATTTTTAGCATTTAAAGTTAGACTTCATTGCATAGTCTATTAATCTCTTTTTTTAATATTTATTTTTTAGTTGTCGTTGGACACAATACTTTCATTTTATTTATTTATTTTTATGTGGTGCTGAGGTTGGAACCCAGGGCCCCGCATATGCTAGGCGAGCACTGTACCGCTGAGCCACAACCTTAGCCCCTTCTATTATCTTAATACATGTTGCTTTGATGCACTGTCTGTGAGAGCATTTGCTAATGGTGTGTTACATATCTGAGTGTATTTGTTTCTGTAGGGATGGGTCCATTATTACTTTGGTCCAGGAATCTGCAGGCAGCTCAAAGCCTAAATCTGACTGCCTCCTGTTTTTGTAAATACTGTTTTATTGGAATATGCCCATGCCCATTTCTTTACATGTTGTCTATGGTTGCTTTGGTGCTATAGTAGTAGAGTGACTTACAGAGACCATATGGCTTGCAAAACCTAAAATATTTGTGATCTTATTCATTACAGAAAAAGTTAGCCTGTCCTAATCCCATGCCAAAGTGCTAAAGTAATAAGACTTCCTTCAAGAAAGGAGAGTAAAGAACAAGAACGTTTTTCAGTATGATGAGATAATCTTAAAGATTTGGAAATATACCCATAATATTAAATTTACTTAATTTGTAAGCTAAAAAGGTCATTGAATATTTTTAGTTTCATGAGAAGTATTCTTCTGTAAATAAGCTCTTAAAAAAATGATAATGAGGGTCTGGGGTTGTGAATCAGCAGTAGAGTGCTTGCCTAGAGTGTGCAAGGCCCTGGGTTTGATCCTCAACCAACATAAAAATAAATAAAGGTATTATATTCAAATTAAAAAAAATTAAAATGATAACGAGTTTGGGGTACTTAATACATTCTTCAGATCTATTTTATCTGAGTGGACTTTAAAGAGATTAGTTTGTGAGCAAAAACTATAATGGCATTTGAAACTTATATCTGTAAATATTTATAATTTTAAAAATTTGTTTTCAGACAGAGGGACAAATTAGAAGAAATCTTACGGGGATTAACTCCAAGAAAAAATGATATTGGAGATGCAATGGTCTTCTGTCTTAATAATGCTGAAGCTGCTGAAGAAATAGTGGATTGCATTACTGAATCATTGTCTATCTTAAAGACACCTCTTCCTAAAAAGGTATGGGAATGGTTTCTTTTTCTGAATGTTTAATTAAGTAAATAGGAGATAATAGTTGACTTCTTTTTGAATTGGAATTGGTTTTCTTTTTGCATGAAGAATTTTGACAAAATCTTTCCCATGTAGTTTTATTTTCCTCTGCCTGGGAAACTTTTGTCATCGACATATAAGTAACCAACAACTCAAACTATAAATGAGTTGACAGATTTTATCCCTGCTAGTGTCATTTCCATGATGTTGAATTTCATATAACTTTTCTAATTTGGGAGTGATTATTAAATTATAGCTGAACATTAGCCTTACGCCCCAATTCCAAGAAATGACAATAGAGTTTTTTTCTAGATATATTATTGGCTAATGGTTTTTATTTTTAATCCATTTGTGTTATCTTTTGGCATTATAGATTGCCAGATTATATTTGGTTTCTGATGTTTTGTACAACTCTTCAGCCAAAGTTGCCAATGCTTCATATTATAGAAAATTGTAAGTATAATGATATAAGCTGATATTCCCGAAATAAAATAATTAAGGGTAAGGAGTTTAGAAAAGAGGATCAATTGTTAACATCGCCCACATAGAAGAAATAATTTGAATTTATTTATGGTTAGAAAATTCTCTTTTAAATTGGCCTGGATTTGTTGAACTAAATTGCTGTAATCTGAATTACCATTTTTTGGGGAAGTTTTAATTTTTATTTCAGTTTTTAAATGTCAGATTCTTAAGTGTTGACAAAATAACAAGATAGGTGAAGTTAAAAAAATAACATCTTATTTAGTTGTTGTTTAATAAGCAGTGTACGTAACAGCAGACATAAAGGAGTAGAGCAAAGATACAACATTAACTATAACATCTCCATTTTCTTCTGTTCATCATTGTATGATTTTCATTGTTAATGTTTTTTGAGGCATTAAGAAATTATACTGCTGTTCTATAATTAAGCTGTCTCTTTCTTAGAGTTCCTCTTCTGTGTTTATTTTATAAATTAGGCTCAGGAACAAAACTTGTCTCTGAAAGGAAATTTAGAAATGGATCCTACTCTGCTTTTGCTATGGTCAAGTCACTTAATTTTTTATAAGTTTCCTATTTATAAAACAGAAGTTGAAATAGATGGTTCAACTGTGTCCTAATGTAAAGTACCTTGTTTTTGAAGGGAACTAGTACTTACGACTCTTGGGGGTCTTTACAGGAGAAAATGTAGAATAGTAGAAGTCAAAGCACCTTGATCTTAATTTTAAGTCCAAGAGGGGTTTTCATTGATTAGCATTTTGAAGAGGAGGTGCAATTTCAAACAGATTTTATTTTAAAGGATATATTATTTAAATTTCAGTTTTGAAACAAAGTTATGTCAGATATTTTCAGACCTCAATGCTACCTATCGTACAATTCAAGGCCATTTGCAGTCTGAAAACTTTAAGGTATGTATATTGTTTTCTGTTTTTGCCTTAAGTGTTCTAGATAGGTGGAGGAGGAGGGCATTGGAGGGCTAGAGAAGCATATTAGAAGTTAGTGTTTTAAAATTCTGCTGCCTTCATTATTTAAAAGTATAAGAAAATTTAAAATACATCACTTTTTGTTTTATCAGATTAGTTCTAAGTGTTAATTATTTAAATATTTTAGCTATTAGGTTCCTCCCCTCCCACAGAGCACATTCAGAAGTTAAACTGTTTTGTAATGGTACATACAGTGTGGCTGGATTAGGGAATGTACATTTTTGTTATTTATATTTAGAAAGCATATTCAGCTACTAATTTTTTATAGCCTCATAAGCAATAGACTGGTATTAAGAAAAGCCAAAAAATAACTTATAATTGAATAAGTAAATATACTTTCATGGGAAGAAAGCTTTGTTAGGAAAATTTTTTAACTTGGAAAGATAGCCAGTGATCCTATCATCTAGAGGATTTAGACAAATCTATTTTTTAAATATTTTTTTCTGAAATATTTACCCTAAGTTAGAATTGACGGTTTTGGGAATGGCAGAGGAAAATGTTAGCCAGATATTTGAAGTATTTTATTGGGCCACAGGGGATTCAGGTTAAAACTTGGCTACTTTGATTTCAGCTTTCCTAAATTTCTGTTAAGTCTACCCCAGAATATGACTCATGTTTAGTACTAATATTGGAATTGACTTTATATGATGAAAAGCAAACAATTGTGGTTGTCACGCTCCCCTTTAATTTGAAGGTGACACTGATTTTTTTTTTTTAAAATATGAAATATTTGCTTTTTGAAAATTTTATGAAGAGTGTCAGTTTAAAGGAAAATTCAGCAAATCATTATAGTTGTTTCTTAGGAACTGAACTTTGAGACACTGCCCACAATAGTAACTCATTGTCTATTTCCTATTTATTTAGCAACGGGTAATGACCTGCTTCAGAGCATGGGAAGATTGGGCAATTTATCCAGAACCATTTTTGATCAAACTACAGAATATTTTCTTAGGACTTGTAAATATTATTGAAGAAAAGGAAACTGAGGTAGGCATTCTATATTTGTCTGATTATTTTTGAAATTTGTTTTTGGACTGTAGTGTGGTATGTTACATATGTGAATAGCATTTCTTTTCTGTTTTTTTTTTTTTTTTAATTTTTAAATTTATTTTTTATTTATGTATGACAGCGGAATGCATTACAATTCTTATTATATATACAGAGCACAATTTTTCATATCTCTGATTGTATACACAATATATTCACACCAATTCATGTCTTCATACCTGTACTTTGGATAATAATGATCATCACATTCCACCATCATTAATAACCCCATGCCCCCTTCCCTCCCCCTCCAACTCCTCTGCCCTATCTAGAGTTCATCTATTCCTCCCATGCTCCCCCTCCCTACCCCACTATGAATCAGCCCTCTTATATCAGAGGAAACATTTGGCATTTAGTTTTTGGGGATTGGCTAACTTCACTTAGCATTATCTTCTATAACGCCATCCATTTACCTGCAAGTGCCATGATTTTATTCTCTTTTATTGCTGAGTAATAAATATTCCATTGTGTATATATGCCACAGTTTTTTTTTTTTTTTATCCATTCATCTATTGAACCTAGGTTGGTTCCACAGTTTAGCTGTTGTGAATTATAAACATTGACGTGGCTGTATTCCTGTAGTATGCTGTTTTTAAGTCCTTTGAGTATAGACCAAGGAAAGGGATAGCTGGGTCAAATCAAGAATCAATAAATGGGATGGACTCGAACTAAAAAATCTTCTCAGCAAAAGAAACAATCTGTGAGGTGAATAGAGAGCCTACATCTTAGGAGCAAATCTTTACCCTTCACACATCAGATGAGCACTAATCTCTAAGGTATATAAAGAACTCAAAAAGTTAGACACCAAAAAAAAAACAAACAAAAAAACCCCACAAATAACCCAGTCAATAAATGGGTCAAGGACCTAAAGAAACACTTCTCAGAAGATGATTTACAGTCAGTTGTCAAACACATGAAAAAATGTTTATCATCACTAGCAATTAGAGAAATGTAAATCAAAACCACTCTTAAGATTTCATCTCACTCCAGTCAGAATGGCAGCTATTATGCATACAAACAACAAGTGTTGCTGAGAATGTGAGGGGAAAAGGTTCACTCATACACTGCTGGTGGGACTGCAAAATTGTTGCAGCCAATATGGAAAGCAGTATGGAGATTTCTTGGAAAATTGGGGATAGCATTTCTTTGTTTAAAAAAAAATCTATTGTTTAACACTAAATAATGATTTTTTTTTTTTTTAATTGCTAAAATTACCTTAGCCCTAGAATCAAAGTTATATATAGTGGGAATTTTCTGTGTTCTGTCTTTATGTAAAAATTAGTGGCTTTTTTTTTTTTTTTTTGATGACATGAAAGATTTATGATACATTAGAGAACAAGCCATATATAGATATTCCATGACTTATGATAAGGTCTCATTAATCCATTGTAAGTTGATTGTATCATAAATTGAAAAAACATTTAATGCAGCTAATCTATGGAATGTCATAGCTACCCTCCTATACCTTAAACATGCTCAGGACACTTAAATTACCTAACACAAAGCCTAGTTTTAAATTAAGTATTGAATATCTCATGTAACTTGCTAAATATCTGTATCCAAAAAATGGTGATAACTCAGATAACTCAGTACATATCCAATGAGCATGCGCCTGACTGGGAGCTGTGGCTTGCTGTTGTTGCCCGGCATCACAGGAAGATCATATAACATATTGTTGTCCTAGGAAAAGATCAAAATTCAAAATTTGAAGTACGATTAACCTCTGAACATGTATCACTTTTTTTGCACCATTATAAATTCGAAAAATAATTGTAAGTAAGTTGGGAACCATCTGTATTTAGCATGACTTCATTTTATTAAAGAACTATATAAGTAAATACGTATATGAAAAGGTATAGCACATGATAGCAGATTCTATTCACCTCCATTCTGTTGCTTTTTACCTCAATAGTTCTTGAGTCTTTCATCTTTAATAGTCAAGCTGTACATTTTCACTCATGCAAGATCCTTCCATATCCTCCCTACTCATGGGTTTTGTTTCAGTTTCTTAAGTGGATAGTGTTTTCTCTTCCAAAGTGAAACTTCCTTATTAATCATTCTAATAGGATGGTGATATACCTCATTATTGTAACAATTATTTGTATGTTGTTGTGATTATCTGATTTCCTGAAATAATAACAACAAAAAAAACCTTTCGTAAATTCTATGATTTGCTCATCATTGACTCACATGGTAATTGGCACTTGGTAAATATTATATAAAGAAAGGTACCAGTTCCTGTTTCATGGGCAGACTGGACAATAAAATATTATTGTCTTACGTTGTACCCGGGAGTGTGGGTATCCAACCAACCTTACTTGTACTGGTTAGGTTTATAGCAGTGAGACTTTAACAAGCAAAGAAAATGTTAGTTAGTTGTATGTGGTTCTACAGGATGTACCAGATGATCTTGATGGTGCTCCCATTGAAGAAGAGCTTGATGGTGCACCTCTAGAAGATGTGGATGGAATTCCCATTGATGCTACTCCGATTGATGATCTTGATGGAGTTCCTATAAAAAGTCTTGATGATGATCTGGATGGAGTGCCTTGTAAGTTCAGATTTCAAGCATTAAATGGAGTTAATAAGTTTAGTTACCAAAACTAATTTCTATTCATGCTAATATGGAAAGAATTATTTCTATTTAATATTTTAATAAAATGTTAAGGTGTCAAATTTTTCTGACTTTTCGAAATTCAAATATCCTTGAATATGTTTATACCAAGGTAATGTTTATACCAAGGAAAAGACTTTATTTTTAAAATATTTTTTTAGTTGTAGTTGGACACAATACTTTATTATATTTATTTATTTTTATGTGGGGCTAAGGATCATACCCAGTGCCTCGCATGTGCTAGGTGAATGCTCTACCGCTGAGCCACAACCCTAGCCCCAAGGAAAAGACTAAATTTTTTTATGGTCACCTTTCTTTGTTGAGATAGTCGGCCTCCTATAATATTAGTAACTTCCTTTTTGTCTTGTCAGGAAATTATAGATCAAATCTTGTTCACAATTATATTCACAATGCCATGTACCTGGTCTTACCAGTTCTGTTTTTATTATTACATTTTCCAGTCTACAGATTCAGTTTTCTTAGCTGCCTAAAATTATGTTAAAATATTAAACAAATTAGGGATTTGATATTTTAGACAACAGTTAGGTAAAGGTGTTCAAGATATATTTATTTTACTTCTGTGTTTCTTCGTTTGCTTAAAATATTACTAACCAAGGTTTTCTGAGTTGATATGTACAGTAGATTCCCCTTATTTGCCATTTCACTTTCAGTTTCAGTTACCTGCTGTTAACCTTGGTCCAAAAATATTATATGGAAAATTCCAAAAATAAATAATTCCTAAGGTTTACTTGTATCACAGTATAGTGTTTTGATTATTCTACTGTACGATTGTTTTTGTTACTCTTTTACTGTGCCTAATTTATAAATTGAACTTTATTATAGATATGTATATATGGAGAAGTACAGTATATAAGGAGTTTAGTGCCTGTCTGGTTTCAGGTATCCACTAGGGTCTTGGAGTGTGTCCCTCATAGATGGGGATGGGGTGGGGTTCTGTATAATGTTAAAAACTTGGACCTCAGAAGCATCCTTGTTCTTGATAATATCAATATTTTTCCATGTGTGGCCTTGTTTTACTTTGTTTTTTAATAATTGAGTAAATATTCCTGAATGCAGTAGCTTGGATCATCCCCTAGTAGTGAGAATTAATAGTTCTTCTTTTTCCATTAGTGGATGCAACTGAAGACTCAAAGAAGAATGAGCCTATATTTAAAGTTGCCCCGTCAAAATGGGAAGCTGTAGATGAATCTGAATTGGAAGCACAAGGTGAGTAAAGGTATAGCAAATATCAAGCTTCAAAAAAATGAGTTCTTGGGCTGAGGTTGTGGCTCAGTGGTAGAGCATTTGCCTCGCATGTGCTCTGGGTTCCATCCGCAGTACCACATAAAAATAAATAAATAAAAAAAAATAAAGGTATTGTGTCCAATTACAACTAAAAAAAAATTTTTAAATTGAGTTCTTATAAGTTAATCATTGATACGTTTGTATGTGTGTATTTTCCTTTTATGTTTTATAACATGATTCATTCTAAAGATCCAGTGTTAACCACATTTTATGTATAGTGTGAGCTTTTATTGTGGTTGCTGTTACTCTAGTAATAATTTCTTAGATTCTTAGATTCTTCAGTTGGGAGGCATTGAGAGTAATCAGAGAAATACCCCAAACTTTTAAGGTTAAGGCATTTCAGTAGAAAGTGTAGATGGGAAGCTGTCTGTTTGAGAGGTCAATTTCAGAAAAAAATCATAATGCTTATTATTAGATGCAGTTTGGACCTAGCACTTAATTGATAGATGTTACCATCTAGCACAGAAAGAAGAATGACACATTTTTTATCAGTTTTGAGTTTGAGTAAAATTGTAGGTGTTAGGGAAGAGATTTTACATAGAATTGGCTGTTCAAAGAATACATAAACAGATTAAAAACTTCTATAGTATAAACATTCAGTTCTTAGGCAGCAGCTGAAAAAATGCTAATTTACCTTGTGATATTATATCCTCTTTACTTTTCGTGTAGCTGTAACAACTTCTAAGTGGGAGTTATTTGACCAGCACGAAGAATCAGAAGAAGAAGAAAATCAAAAGTAAGAATCTAAGTTTCAAATATACTGTTTCCAGTGCATATACACTCCTTTTTTTTCCTTAATGGTTGAAGTAATAGTGAAGAGGAAAACTTCACTCTTAAAAGCACCTGTGAGAGGGTTGTTTTTAGTTGTTCATAGTTTTTCTATTGAATAAAGAGATTTGGTTTCTATTCATGTATCTTGTTTCACTTTGCTTTTGAGTTTATTTTCTGTGATAGATTGTACATTCTCACTTGGTAATTACTAAATGACTGACTACATTTGTTTCAAATCTTTGTTACCAAATCTACAAAAAAGTGATTTTTTAATTTTTTGTGAAAATCCACAAAAATTATTTAAAAAATGTGAGTGGGAGCTTCTTTTCTGTTATTTAAATGTAACACTTCAGCTGAACTAAGAATGAATAAAAGAAGTACAACCTTTTCTTCGCAGCATAGAGAAATTATATTCTTGATTTTGTTTTTTGGTAATTACTCCAAAATTGTTTTTGCATTTGACAATACGTGATTATAGGAATCTCTGTTCCCAGATTCTCCTGCAAGATTGTATTTGTACTTTGTAGGGGGCGTTGAACATTAAAAAAAAAATCATTGCAAAGGAAATAGATTTTTAAGTAGGAAGAGGTGGCATCAAGAATGTAAAACAGAGGCTTTATTTTAAAAATTATCTCTGTGATTTTTTTATTATTCCCAAATGGAAGAAGGAACGGGAAAATTCCTTTTTGTCCTAGCATAACGCAGAAATTTATGTGGATTTCATAAATGGGTCTTTAGATTGTTAAGGAAGTATGATCACTCAGTTGTAGAAACACAGATTGATATGATGAGAAAAACTTGTCACAGTGATGTCTTTCCAGAAATGGTGTGATCAGAATAGGTCAGCAATGATTATGATAAAAGTATTTACAAAATAGAGATGTGGCTTGCTAATGGAAATAGCTGTCTGAGGTTGAGGAGTTTAGGAGTCTGGTTTAATTCAGTTTGCTTTAAAACAGTGATTATCTTTAACTCTTTAATGTCCATGATCCTATCATTAGTCACATCTCATGAACTTGAAGTCACTGCTTTAAAATGTGTATTGTACTCAAAATAATTAATTTAGAAGGCAGGAAAGATAGGAAAGCCATCAGAGAACTCAAAGAATTCGAATATATTGTGAAGTAGGTTTTATTTCTAAAGGTATTGGGAATTTTTTCTTTCTTGACATAAAGTTGTTATTTGTGTTAATGTTTGGAATATGACTGTCTTTTAGTATTGATGTTGAAATGATTCACTGATAGCATGAATAAGAATAATTTATACTTTTGATTTTTTTTTTAGGAACTCCAAATAAATCTTGATAATATAAAAATAAGTATGAAAGTGAGGGAAAAAAATCACATAAAGAACTTTCTGATTCTTGAAATTCTCTTATGCCTCACTACTACTCTCTAGTGGCTGAATCCAAAATGCCTTTTAACTTAGAGCTGCTTTTTGAAGCTAGTGATTATTGCATTTGTGGGAGAAATGTGATTTTAACAAAAATATAGCCTATTAAGACTTGGAAGAAGAATTCCTAAAAGAATTTCATTTGTAATGAATTCTACATTTTAATTTTGAACTTCCCTTTTCTTTAAAAGAAGTGCAAAAGAAGCTGTGATGAGAACTGAACCTGGAACTATTAACTGAGGGCTAAGGCCAAAATCAATTAAAACAACTGCTCAGGCCTTGAAAAATTATATTAGCAATTTGAAAATATGTATATATTTAAAGTTATCCAAGTAGCATAGCTCTTTTTTTTTTTTTTTCCCCTCTTTTTTCTTTTTATAGTACTGGGGATTGAACTGGGGCCTCACAAATGCTAGATAAGTACTGAGTTACATTCCCAGCCCTTTGTATATTTTTAAATTTATATTTAAATGTTAACTATTGCAAAGAAAATTTTTTGCAGAATGAAAGGCACACAGATGTCATTAACATAAGCAAAATTTATTAAAAGTGTCATGTTGAAGCTCAAACTTATTCTGTGGAGAAAATGAGTTTTACAAAATTGTCTATAAAATATTATTTACTCAGATATTTTACAAGAAATGTTTTAGGGATGAATTGTCCTCATATATTTTGCTAATGTTATTTAGGCTCTATGACAGTGAAAAATAAAATTTCCAGTCTGTAAAATGTAACCTTTTTTTGATGTCTTGACGTACCATGTATTCTACTTATTTCCAAAGTCAAGAAGAAGAAAGTGAAGATGAAGATGATACCCAAAGTTCCAAATCTGAAGAGCATCACTTGTACTCTAATCCAATCAAAGAAGAAATGACCGAGTCCAAGTTCTCTAAATACTCTGAAATGAGTGAGGAAAAACGAGCTAAGCTTCGTGAGATTGAGGTTAGTATGGCAGTGACACTGAAGCTATACTCCATTGGCTTTTCACCTTCTCCGTCAGGTTCAACTCTCTCTTGACAGCATATGTGGGTACATACCATTTCCCCTCTCTGCTTAGAAGCCTCCATTTTTTTTGAGCCTCTCAGGTCTCTTAGTTTAAGCATCCCTTCCCTCATAATAGCCTTTTCTTCTCTTGTGGACTCTATTCCTTCTATTTTTTAATTTTTTAAAATTATTATTTTAGTTGTAGATGGACACAGCACCCTTATTTATTTATCTATTTTTTTTTTTTAATGTGGTGCAGGAGGATCGAACCCAGTGCCTCACATGTGCTAAGCAAGCACTCTGTCACTGAACCACAACCCCAGCCCTGTTCCTTTTGTTTATCTCTGTATAATTTTACATGTGTTGTGGGGTGTGCATGTATTTTGTTTGCTGCCTTACTTCATTGATTAATGTCTTTCCTTTTTGTTTTATCTCTAGAATATGGCAGGCACATAAGAGAGCCTCTGAAGAAATAAATTCTAATTAATAGATTATATTTAATCATGTAGGAAATTCATTACGTTTTGAATGTATGCAGTATGTAACTAGGGAATGATAAAATATTTTCTGGCACACTCAGGTGATATTTACATTTTATTGTAAGGGACTAAAATATGTCTACTTTTAATGACTGGGCAAAGAGTAGACATTGAGTGGGTCATAACATTAAGAGGAGAAAGATATATAGGAGAGCCCAGACCATTTCATGAACTTTCCCTCCATTCTTCCATCTCCTTTTTTTAAAATGTCCTTTTAAAATCAAAGCTATTCAGACATGTCAGAGAAAGAAAGATTTTTTTTTTTTTAATGCATCAAGGTAATGAAACATTTCTAGCAAATAACAGCAGTGGTCAGTCTAGAACATAAGAAGAGTGTTAAGTCCATTTACTTAACAGTTTTTTGAATATTTACTTCATGCCAGCCTTATTCCTCTTACTAATAATTTAATTTTTTAGAAATAGACAATGTATATCAGTGAACAAACATAGGTTGGACCTTTTTCTTTTTTAAAAAAGTATATAGAATTATTTATAAGAAGATAAGCAATTAAGTACCACTGGGTGGTATAGGTTTAAAAAAGTTAAAAATAAGTCATTAGTGGAAAGCATTAAATTAGTCAAATGTTAAACTTGGTGCTAACAGCAAATTCAAACACAGCTAACACTGAGTATCATTAAATACTGTGCTGATTGCTGCACAGTCAATCTCTGCAAAAACCTTATGAGGGAAATACTGTTCTCTTTATTTGGCAAGTGAGTAAATGGAGATAGATTTTAAATAACTTGTCTAAACCACCCATGTAATAGTGGCACAATATGTATTGGAGTCTAGATGATCAAAAACTAGAGACAGACTAATATAAGCTCCAAGCCACAAAGCAACTCAGACATTATTTAGCCCAGTTTCAATGTTTCACAGTTAGGGGTTGGACCTTTTTTGATGAGCACATGCCCCTTCCTAACTCTCAGTCCTCCTTCTATTTTACTGAGAGGCTTTGCCTAACTGATATAATAAAACTGTTAAAATACAAGTAGAGATTGAGTTCAATAAAATAGATTTTCTTGATAATTTAAGTTACCCCTTATAAACGCCAAAATAGACTATTTAAAATTAGTTTAAAATGTTCTATTTGCTTCTTAACATAAAGAGAAGAAAGCTGTATAATTTAGCTTTTTCTTAACTTAGCTGGATTTTATGAACATTATTTCTACATTATATGCATATATACGTGTGGGATATACATGTGTGCATGCACACACCCATGTACATACTTAAGAGTATACCTTTCCATGCTTTGTGTGTTCTGTTGTAGTCTGGCTTCTCCCTTTGTTAAATATTCAGTGGCTGTTTTTCCTGCTCTCATGGTATCTACCTTTCACAATTGACTCATGGGATTTTGATTTGGAACCAAGTCCTTAGCATTATCTAATTATCTTATTCTTCTCCCTTGTTTGCTAGTACTGAGATTTAGTCACATGCAATAAAGATTTAATCACATGGAATAAAGTTTCACCTTGGTGGATATGATATTGTAGTGTTGACCAGGAACAGATTCTTAATTTTTCAGATACCATAGAGTAGTACCTAAGTAGCATTGCCTTTTCCTATTCCACTGTCCCTACTTCTGCCATAGGAGTTGGAAAAGAATACTGGACTGGGAGCCAAGTGAAGGATCTTCTGTATTATTGAAGGAGAAAGATCACTTTCTAACCTGGTCCCTAAGGAAAGAATGAGTAGTTGAGTAGGAAGGTGATACCTGGTCATTATCCCAAGGCAACAAGCCATTGTGTGGGCTACTTTCTTTTACGTTGGACTTTTGATTAAGCCAGAGGTAGACTGTATCAGCAAAAACCTAAGTTGGAATTTTTTTTTAAATATTTTTTTTTAAGTTGTAGATGGACACAATACCTTTGTTTATTTATTTTTATGTGGTACTGAGGATCGAACCCAGCGCCTCACATGTAAGAAGCAAGCGCTCCACTGCTGAGCCACAACTCCAGCCCCTAAATTGGAATTTTATAATGATATTTTTAAAAGATTGTCTAGGAAGTCCTCCTTTCCCATAAATGACACTCAGTCTGGTTTTTTGCCCTTTGGATACTTAATTCTGATTTGCAAAACATATTTTGATTTATTCTGGTCAAGGCTGCATACAGTGATGAGATCAGCCATTTATATTGCTGTGCACCCCCATCTTACAATCTAAACTTATATCTTACTGGGGGTGGAAAGCCTAAAACTGTCTTTTAAGATGTAATAATCATTAAAATTTGAAAAAAGTGCAAAGAATTGTAAGATTTTAAAAGGAAGAGGAGAGGACCTTAAAACTCCAATTATAAAACCCTTACTATGTACAAAAGTGAAATTAGGTAGTAAAAGGGAAAAAATTAGAGAACTTATTAAAAACATTCATCAAGTTCAAAAAATCATGAAAATACCACTTTAATTTTGGACTGGGAAGAAATTATATCTTGTTTCCATTTTATTGGAAAGTCTTATTTGTAATGACGAGTGGGGGTAGAAAGCCTAAAACAAATGAGACCTTGTTTTTCCAATATAAATAAAATGTGTAGCAGCACATAGCCCATTTAAAGGACATATCAATGTCTAAATAAAGCAGGATTAGATGTTAACCTCTGGTAATTCCATTAGACAAGAATGCATTCCCCATCTCATTGAGTAAAACTGGATTGGACAGGTTTGGGACTTTACAGGGTGGATTCATCTAGGATCCGTGTACTTCCCACCTCAATTTCCGACAATCGCAAAGTCCTCATGATCTTTACCTTATTTGCTCTCCATTAGTCCAAGAAGAAAGTATCTGTCCTTGGAAATTTCTTGGATGATTTAAGCTCCTTTAAGCCTCCAGATAGTTTTTATTTTAGCTGTTTTGTGAAATCTTCAAGTTCAAAATACATGATGAGTTTATTCATTTTAGTATTTTTTTATGTAGTAGTAAAAAATATTAAAATACTTAAATCTCTAGAATAAAATGAAATTAATCTCACCTATTCCATTCTTTTTCTCCCTGTAACTGATTTTACCAGTTTTTTGTATATGTTCTCTGGTTACTATTGCAGATTTTTTGGTGTGTTTGTGTGTAGTTAGCCAGAAATCTCTATCTGAACATGTAGGTGATTTAGTTTTACAAATATTGTTGCAGTGAATATTCTTGTATAAATAGGTTTTATGTGGACATTCTAAAGGATAAGTTATAAGATATGGAATTAAAACATTTTCTGATTTTTTTAAAAAAAATCAGTATTGTCTTAAAAAGTACATTCTAAATATGACTTTAATATTTTCTTTGTACATTGATATTCAGTGATTATATTGTACTAGAAATAGAGTAAATCTTCAGACTGTGCAGCTCTTTGTTTGGTCTAACATCAACTTTAACCAGAATACTGCCTTTGTGGGTGGGTGTGTGTGTGTTTTAATCTATTTTCTGTTGACACATATCTTCCTGGCAGTATGCTTTCCTCCAGTTTCCTTGCCTTTCTAATTTGGGGAACCAGATCCCAATTCATAATTGTGTTGAGAGAATAAGTTCTTAAGGGTATGAAGCATGTGGTTTTTTGAGTAATCTCATGGCTGTGTAGAGAGCATGTGACCTGATGTCTGATTACTTGGATTCTGTGTGGATGGGCTTGTCTGACAAGTGGCCTTCAGATAAGACAGTTTTATGTTTAGGTTATATTTTGACTGATTGCTAATCAGATATCACTTTACTGTAGAGGAGAGCAAAATGGTTCTTAAGAAACTATAAGTAATTGAAAATACTTATTTTAAAAATGTTTTATTTCACAGCTCAAAGTTATGAAGTTTCAGGATGAATTAGAGTCTGGAAAAAGACCTAAAAAACCAGGCCAAAGTTTCCAAGAGCAAGTAGAACACTACAGAGATAAACTTCTTCAACGAGTAAGGAATAAATATGTTTAATAATATATGATTTCCAAAATTACTTATTTGATGTCTTAGAATATTAGTATATTGGATACTTAACGAAAGTATATTTCCATTTATATCCTTTGATGTATAAATGTTGTATACTGGTGGACAGTTAGAAGCATGTGAGTTTCAGTATTTTAAAATCGTTTCAACTTGGAAAAGAGGTCTTAAGGCAACAGCATACTATTTTATTCAGGGTACAACCTGTGGACTACAAGATTAATCCTAGTAAGAGCATGCTTTCAAAACTGAAAGAACCTTACAGGAAGAAGTTTATGACAGTGAGACAACCGCTACCCTGAAAACTGGCACCGAGATACAGATGCAAACAGGGTTTGAGAAATTTTAGTGTCAGGAAGCTGTTTTAGGACTTCTGTAAATGGTAGAGAATGGCTCATCAGTGAATTCCATGTTTTTAAAATTTTTTTTGATTTTTTTTTTTTTTTTTAAGACATTGATGGACCTTTATTTTATTCATTTATTTATATGCAGTGCTAAGAATTGAACCCAGTGCCTCATACATGCTAGGCAAGTGCTCTACCACTGAGCCACAACTCCAACCCCAAACCCAGAATTCCAAGTCTTTGAGGGACTTTGTATTTTTGCACATAAAAAAATGTGTAGGAATAGGCAGAGACTTCTAGAAGTAGCAGTCCCACATGGTAATTGTTGAAGAAACTCAGGAATTTTGGTGGAGGTGCTATTTTAGCCTATATTTTGATTGTCTGCAAAATAATAATGTAATAATGGTAATCATAGAAATAAAAACAGAGAAATAGGAAAAAGTTATAGAAGGGAACTTGAAATGATTCATTTGTAGAACCAACAATGGGGAGCAGTCCAGTAAAGGGACTGAGGTGCTGCACAGACCTGTGGAATCCTAGTGCTACTCTCTGATGTGCACCTGGCTTTTCTGTGAAACTGGTGTGATGTTTCCAATTCTGCAAGATTGTTAGATGATAGCTACTATTATTATGCTTTATTATTGAATTAGAATTTGTGAAACATTGTAAGTAGTTTAACTGTAGTATGGTTTCCATATAGTAGGCATTTCAATCACGAGAATATTTCCTAAAGATCTCCTCAGCACCACTTGTAAAATTTGTACTTTGTATGTTGTATTTGTAAAAATATGAATGAGATTTTTTTTTAAAAGATGCTAGTAATCTTTACCCTCTGAGTTCCTTTGGAATGGTGATAGATTATTTATCTGCAAAGAAACCTTCTGGTCCTCACTAATCCTAATGGTAGCAAGTTTAAAATGGGTAATACATGTATGACCACTTTAATCCCCTTACATTCCATGACTGTAGTTGTAGACAAGCTTGTGTTTTGTGAAGGCATGCGCTGAGGATCAGTAGACTATGCCTGATTTTGTAGGTTGAATTTTATTAGAACACTGCCATGCCCATTCACTGTGTATTGTTTATGGTGGCTTTTATGCTGCAGTGACAAGAGTTGAGCACTTGTGACAAAGACTGTATGTGGCCCACAAAAACAAAATATTTACTATCTGACATTACACAAAAAGTTTTCCAACATCTGGTATAGGCTTCTATAACTTCTTAAAAATTGTAATTGTCAGCCATCAAATAGCATTTTTGATACATATCATAGAGGAATTCTTGTTGAAGAACCAAGTTATCTGGATTTTTTGTCTGTAACCACTCATTTGTTTATACTGTTATCAGTACAAATCAGAATTTCAAGTGACATGAGCAAAGAAACTATTTTCTGGTGTACATAATTGTATCATTATGTAGTCAGTTTATTTTTGTAAATTAGCACTTAAAGTTTCTATTATAGCTGGTATTTGTTTCTCAGTAATAAAATTTTGGTGGAAGATTATTACGAATAGCCATTTTCCTCTTTTCACCTTTTTCCTTTAGTAAGAACTCCTTGATTAAATCAACCTGCTGCGCAGTTAGAAGAATTACTTTTTACTAATTGTGATCTGTGATGGAAAGTTTAGTGCATTGCTAGCTTTTTCTGATTTTTTTTTTTTTTTTTTTGAGTTGGGCGGTGGGTACGTGGGATTAGGAAGTAGGACAAGATCTGACTGTAAAGCTTGAACTAAAACCCTGACTTGACCATTCAGTGTGACTATAGACATTGTACTTGATCTTTCCAAGTCTCAGTTTTCATCTCTAGACTGATGGTGATATTACTGATCCTAGGGGTCTTGTAAAGGATTACATGAAATGGTATATGGAAAAATGTTCAGTACAGGACTTGGGCTATGGTAAGCACTAAGTAAATATGTAGCTGCTATTATTATTATCATTATAATGTCATTATTGTTATAATGGTAATTATTATTCAGTACAAGAACTAGTTTTCCTGGAATGGTAGATTTTTTTGAAAATGATATTGTATCTTAAGTAATGATGTTAAAAAATGTTTCCTAAATGAGAAAATATTGTTACATAAAAGTGATTAACCTTGATTAATTTTTTTAAGCAACTAAATATTTTCTTTATAAAAACAAAACAGGAGAAAGAGAAAGAATTAGAAAGAGAACGAGAAAGAGATAAGAAGGATAAAGAAAAGTTGGAATCTAGATCCAAAGACAAGAAGGAAAAAGATGAGTGTACTCCAACAAGGAAAGAAAGGTATAACATCCTGATGTGTATACTGGTTTTGCAATAATTTTTGATTTTATAATATTCTCATTATTGATACCAACAAACTGGAAGTGTGTTTTACAATAAACTTGTTGACTCCTATCTGTAGGAGGCAGAGTTAGCTGAAAAAATGGAGTAGACAATTGCTGCTTGGTTTTAACTAAGTAGGGCATCTTCCCTTTACATGTATCTTATGGTAGCCTTAGCCTTAGTTGAGTGCAAGTATTCAGTTACAGTATTAGGTATCAAACATGAAGCTTAAATAACAGAACAGCTTGCTAGATATTCCTTTTTACCTCCGCTATAAGAATTTTTTTCTGGTTTCTGTGCTGAGGCTGCTACCTGTAAACCTGTCTCAGTCTTACTTTGAAAGGAGATTGTGTACATAGGCCACAGGGACTTGCTTCTTGCTTTAAGTCTTCATTCTAAGCATTTCTCTTTCAGTTTTTATTTCTTACTATCATAGTTCCTAAGTCTCCTAGGAAGGAACATTGCTTTAGTCGACAGAATTGAGGTTTTTCAAATAAAAAAAAAAAAAAAAACCAAATAATTGCAAATAAATTTTGGCTCACCCATTCTAGAGTTACTTCAGGTAACGCTAATTGTTTTGGTAACAAAAATCTGTCACTTTTTGTGATATTATTTGACATAATTTCAGATTTACAGAAGTTGAAAGAATAAAGAATTTCTAGGTTCCCTTCTACATCCCCCAAATGTTAAAATATTTCTACTTCTGCTTTATTTTTCCTTTTCCACTCTTGATTCCAATCATTTAAGAATAATTGGACAATAGGATGCCATGTTATCTTAACCATATTCATTTAATCTCAATAAAAGTATCAGATCAGAAAAATCACGTTAAAGAAAACCTCACTGTTATCTAATCTAGAAACTTAATTAATTTTGTTGATTGTCTCAGTAATCTGTCTTAGAGCAAAAGAAAATTTAGTTTAGCTGAATTTAGTTTTCTCTCGATCAATCTATTTTAAGACTTGTTTGTTCTAGTTACAAAGAACTTTTGAGTGTTATAGAAAATAATATTAACAGTGGTGTAAACTGGTAGGAATTAATTTGTCAATCTAATAAAAGAAAAACACATACCTAATCCTTTGCTTACTCATGAAATGTTTTGGGGCTTTGTTCCATAGGAAAAGGCGACATAGTACATCCCCCAGCCCATCTCGCAGTAGCAGTGGTAGACGAGTGAAATCCCCATCACCAAAATCGGAGCGTTCAGAGCGTTCAGAAAGATCTCATAAAGAAAGCTCCCGGTCCAGGTCATCTCACAAAGATTCTCCTAGGGATGTTAGCAAAAAAGCCAAAAGGTAAATATGCAAGCCATTTTTTACAATATTTTAAATACCAGTATCCTTATTATTCTACCAGCTTTTGAACATAATTTGGTTGGCAGAGTTTTAAAAGAGAGATAACAGTTTCATTTTAGGTTGTTATTACCCACACCCCTACCCCAGGCTCTCATGACTAAAGTACAAGAAGGCTCCCAACAAGTTAAAGACCAGCTGAGAATTTTCGATGTATCCAATGCTTCCTGTGGCACGGGGGTAGTTGCTTTACTTTTCATTTTGCTCTTTAGTTTCTGTAGAATATTCTCAGATTATGTCAAAGCTGAAAGAAAAATGCACCCCCCCATAGGATATTTTTAACAAGTTCGTGGGTAGAGATTTGTGGAAATAAATACCATTTATACCATTTCTTCAGTATGTAATTTAGTATTTTATATTCTTTATTCCTTTTACTTCATAGAACTAAAAGTGGTTCAAAAATGTTTTATTTATTTGGTATTATAGATTTTTTCCGAGAGCTAAAACTGCTTTATATACTAACATTTTATTATTGTAACTATTAGTAAAATCTTTCAATAGGGTTCTCTTACAGTATGTATATATGTATATATGTGTACTTGTATATTTCTTCATTTTGAAAATCTTCATAAATAACACTTAACAAAATTATGCTCTCAGATGATGCCCTTGAACCATATTGTAGTAATTTGAAGTGTTTTTTCCCTCAAGATGATAGGTTGCAAAGCTGCTGTGTTTTGTGACTAATCTTAGGTGCCATTTTGAAAGTTACCTTGTAGATTAGAGGTTTAAATTTTGACATCTTTGGTTAACGGTGAGCTTGTTAAAAATGCAAATTCAGTCCCTGCCTCTAGAGATTTAGATTCAGTAGAGCAGGGGTAGGGAACATAGAAATCTTTCTTTACAAATAGGTGCTTAACTGATGATCATTGATGAATTGCATAGTAACTACAAAATTGTGTGTGTGTGTGTGTGTGTGTGTGTGTGTGTGTGTGGCCTATACACACACTGGGCAAAATATAAACTTGAGAAGTTCACAGTCTTATTTTAGTGACTTTCATTGTGCTCTCTTAAAGATCATTTTAAACAATTTATGGATAAGCAGTTTTGATCACATGATAAATTGTGGTTTTTTGTTGTTGTTTTGTTTTTTTGTTTTTGTTTTTTTGTTTCCTTAGATCACCATCTGGGTCAAGGACACCTAAAAGGTCTAGGCGATCACGATCTAGATCCCCTAAAAAATCAGGGAAGAAATCCAGATCCCAGTCCCGATCTCCACACAGGTCTCATAAAAAGTCAAAGAAAAACAAACACTGACATATGTTTTTAAGATGCTGTCACTTATTGGAAATGCGATTTTGTTTTGTGCCTGAATGGTCTGTTTTTTAAAAAAACAAAACAAAAAAAATCAAATGAAAGAGCATTCCTGGGTTTTTTTTGTTTGTTTGTGAATGCATGTGTAAACTCATGAGTAACTGCATCTGTAGACCTGTCATTGTTTTATATTGTATAAATTACTTTCATTGTGGCTGTTTCTGAAGATGAAATTTTTATTGTGCTAATGAATTTCATCAGAAATGTGTATAATGGATCTGCTGGCAGTAGTAGTATTTTGTTTTAGGATGTTGTGACTTAGCAAAAATAATACAGATGTCTTCCCCCCTTTTGTAGCTTTGACAATTTGAATTAGATTTCAAATAAAATCTGAATAGAAAAGTATAATGTTGTTTTTTTGCCCAGTTGGTGATATCAAGTCCCTTGAATTCCTACAAAGTGAATTTGGCATTAATGTTGTGTTTCTTATACCCTTTAATGCACTTTACAGGTTCCAGTGTTCAAGTAGCTGAAGTTTTATATTTACTAAGATGAATATCAAAATTAAGGGACCTGAAACTACTATTGGTAGGTTTGCTGACTAGTTTTCTTCAGTAAGGTTCTCTTGGATAATTCCAATACCCAGAGAATGGAATGCTTGACTTAAACATTTTTCTTTTTTCAAATAAGCAATATTATTTGAATACACTCAACCCATGTCTTGAGCAACTACTTATTTTTAGGAGAAAATGAAATCTCTTGATTTTTGTCTTCTATCATGGAAAAAGTTTATTTATAAAAGAAATTTTCTAACAAGATTTGACCATAGAATTCTTTCGTATGATAGTTGCCCTTTTATAATCTTCTGTGAGCTGTCTTTCAAACACCGGTATCAGAATATTTCTATAAATTTATGTTTAAAACATCTTAATTTTTAAAAAGAAAGTTTGGCTTTAGGTGTAGCTATAAGTAAAATTTAAAAATACAATGGTTTTCAGGAAATTTAACATCCAATGGTTTGTAAATTCAAGGTGCAAAAACCATTCTCATTATCTATTATAAATGAGAATAAAATCCCTGTAGTCTGAGAAGAAGAAAAAACTTGTGTAGTGTTGACCATAATGTTACTATAAATATAATGTAATAAAGGGTTACATAGACTTGAACTGACACTATTATTTGTCAATCTTGCTTTCAGTTTTTCATTTAGGCATTTTACATAGTGGTTTGATGTTTTTTTCTCTTTAACAGAGAAAGTAGAAAGCTATTATAATAATGGATTGTTTTGATTTCCCTTGCTTATATAAAAAAAAAATCTTTTCAACTTTGTGCTTAGTCTTGCTGTGTCAAAAAATAAGATACTTTGTGTCCATGTTTTGGGAAGAAACTTGTTAGTTGAGCAGTGAGGCATACTATGTCCAAACTGGGCAAATCTACAAGAGCTTTGGAAATGAGCCAATCTATCAGGTTATTTTATATACTGGTCTTAGCATGCAAGTATTACTTGGAAGTTATTTCCTTATTGTTCACTCTTTTTTGTTTATCCATTTTGTTAGGAAACGTTAATTTCTAAAAGTTGTTCAGAATAATTAATGTGAACATTTGATGCTGGTATTTAAAAACCTATAAATGTCATTATTTTAAAGTAACCATTTATTCCCCCGATCGTTGCCTGGAAGAATGTAATTTTTATATAATCTACCTTTCTTTGCAAAAACATTACTAGTGTTGAATTGCTGGTGATTTTGGCATTCCCCATTCACTGTTATCTTGTATAGGCTTAGACATGGTCATGATATCATTTTTTCAGTTAAGTTGCAAGGAATGCTTATTTTCCTCTTGCTCTAAAAACAAAACAAACCCTGGAGAAGGAGGAGTGAGTAGTGGTTTGGGGTGCTTATTGGTAATTTTTCCTAGTGCAAAGGAATTCAGCAGTTTTCTTTATATACATCTCGATAAAACTATTGTAGTTTGTCTTTGCAGTGGATAAAACTGGCTTACTTTTGGTTAAGGGGGATTGCTTAGGCCTAGTAGAATATATGTGGTGAAATTTGTTAATGTGTTTATTGGATTTTGTTTTCTTAAATTGCAAATAGTAAGATAGGTTAGTTCCAATTTTACTTTATAAAGAAATATCTAGAGTAAGCTTGTTAAATTCCCTGTAAATTCTGTGAAAGTTGAATAGGATCAGAAGTTGGTGAATTGTGGGAGGAAGCTATCCTACCATATTTTTATAATAGCTTATCGTTTATCAGTTTGGAACTATAGAACATATAGTGCATAGCCAAATGTCTCTAGGTTGACTGAAATGTGCATAGACACTTTCTTCTAGTTGTAGGAAAGACCATGTTCCAGATATGTAACAGTCACTGTCCTCTGCCACAACTACACACAAGAGGAAATCCTCTATTGTCTATCTTTACAAAGGGCATCATTTAAATTCTTTACCCTCAAATCTACCATTTATACACAGTGATTTCTTACCAGGTTAACACCATGTAACTCTCCTCTCTTCTCCCAGGTGAAAGAAAGGAAATAAGTGTTGGTCTCTCTCTTTCTGGAAAGAGACCAGTGATTGAAAAGGATCATGTTGGTGAATCTTTTCTTGACATTGTTTGTATTCCTTGTTATATTAGTAAACATGGGAATTTATGAACTTTAACATCTTGAAAAGTTAGAGACTAAAGAATTAACATAACAAAAATCTCTGATACGAAAGAATGCTCTTTATTTGGCTCAGAATAGTCTTGGCCTTTTTGCTAAAGTTTGCAGAAATTACTTTACACTGGCCCAATTTTTCTTTACTATAGACCATTTCTAGGAACTTACCCAGAATCTTTTATCCCAATTAATGAATCTTGGGGGAAATGCTGTGACTTATGTGTGAAACTTTAATAATATTCTTGATCACTTGAAAATATTTTAAAGAAATTTTGATCAAATTTAGGTTTATTAGAAATATTTTGTATACATTTACCTTCTTGGTGATATAAGTTCTGAAAAATTACATGATCATGATAATAGTTTTATCATTATTAAAAATAAGAATCATTATTAAAAATAAGAGCAAATAAATATATTGCCAAAGTGACTTAAACTAGTCTGATGACCACAACAGTGTGATTTCTTTTAGCAAAGTTGTTTTTAAAAATATAGTACCATGTTTCTGAGATTGTGTATTTAAAAAAACAAAACTTTTTTTTTTCTCTTCAGTGACATTTTAATGGAAAAGTTAATTATGAAATTCAGTGCAGATACTAGTGAAGACACTAAATTTAAAGGAAAATATTCCTGTAAAAACTCAAATTTTACAAAGTGCTTGGTCTCTTTTCATATGCATGTTTTGGAATAGATTTTAGAGTGTTTCTCATCCTTTTGACTCTTCTCTTTTTTTATCATCTACTTGTTTGGATTTAAGTAATACACAAGTAAAACCCCCAGGGGCAGTGTGGTGGTGACAGACGGAAGGGTTGGGAGTGTACTGCTGTGCAGAGTGAGCCTGCTCCACTGTTGAGAATCAGTGCCTCCGTGTTCCTCCAGTACCACCTCATGGAACCTCAGTGTAAATGGATTATGTGTATAGTTGGTCATTTGTATAGTTTTTCAGATCTATAGATTCAATAACCTCAATTGTTTTTACATGTAATTGTGCTTGGAGTATTTGTGTTTTATCCTTTCACTTTAACAGGCTCTTGAATGTTATGTATCTGGTGATTTGAAATAATAGAAAAGACAGTTTTCGAGAAATAAGCATAATATAGTTGAAGTCAGCTCTGCTGAAATATTCTATAGCAACTGAGTTTGGTTACCCTTGACTTAAGGGTTAGGGTTGTTGTGGCACTGCTTTCCAGATCAGACTGTCACTTTATAGTTTTTCTACATAAAGATTATATAGTTGCTAACAAAGGTTGTGAAATTTCCCTTTTGTTGTTGTTTTCTGGATTTTAATTACTTTAATAAAATACATTGTTTTCATAGTAAATTTAGACTGTTCATGTAATTTTCTCCATACAGTTGTTCTAATGAAAGCCTGGTAAACCATGTCTAGTTTTAGCAGCTCTGTTCCAAGTGAAAAAGTGAGGTGTCACATTTATCAGTTAAAACTAAAATGTTACATTTTATAAATCTAAACTCTAATCACATATTTTCATGATATATGATTCTGTTGTTTGGGTAATTTCATTTCCTTGTTCTCCTTGTTAAAAAAAAGTTATTTTGTTCTGCTTATTTTATTTCAGTGAAGAAAATTTAAAATGCATACAAAAGTAGGCTACTACAACAAATATCCATATATCTATCAACTTGTTAGTTTGTATCTCTGTTTTGTTTTTAAAACATAAACCACAGCATCATTATCACATTAAAAAAATTTTAATGGTTCCTCTTTATTTTTAATTGCGGTAAAATGCTATTAACAAATTTCACCATCTTAACCGTTTTTAAGTGAGTTTAGTGGAGTTACGTGTATTCCCATTGATATGCAGCCAATCTCCAGAATATTCTTCATTTTGGCAATATAGAAACTCTACCCATTAAACGACTCCCCATATTCTCCTTCCTATCTCATACCTCATAACCTCATTCTGTTTGATTACTCTAGAAAGTAAGATCACACAGCACACCACTGAATTAAAAATTCTTTACCATTTTCCCAGCCTTTTGTGATTTGTGTTCTCTTATGGTTATATATGATGTAGTTTCACATTAACACTTCATAGCATGGGGTGCAAAATACACTTTCAGTGCAAACCAATTTTGAAAGTGTAGTGGATTAATATCAATGACCATACTTAAATGCTTTCCTGATTTTTTTTAATTGCCTCATGAGAAAGGAAATTTTTGACTTGTAGGAAGCTTTGTTTTTTGTTTTTTTTTTTTTTACTTGATATTCATTTTGCCACAAAGAAAACTTTTCTTATTTTTTAAAAGTTATTTTCCTCTGTCTTAGAAAACAGTATCATTCTGTTTTAGAATAATTTGTTTTTTGATACTTCAGTGTGTTGTGGCACGGCATAGTAGTAGAGGAAGAAGAAAAGTCTGATAACTGTGTTTGGATTTGAACACCAGCCTTTCTCCTCTACTAGGTGTGTTGTGTTTTTTTTGGAATTTCATCATCTTCCTACAAGACAAAGATAATAATCTGTGTGGTTATTCAAAGTAAGAAATCATGTAAATCACTGGCATGTGGTTGTCATAGGGGTACTTAAACATTTAGTATTCCTGAAAATGAGTGATGAGAACATCTTGTAACTAAAATGAGATGAAGTAGCACTGAAATTTGAGACTTTTTAAACACTTGATTTGTATTGGTTAACATTTTATAAATTTGGTGATAATATTAGCACATTTATTGCATATTAAATACTTATAATCTCCTGTTCCAGTCTTTTATATGATATTCTTAATCTCCTTTGAGAAAAAACATTTTTATTAAGTAGATTTTTAAAAATACTTTTTCATCAGTTGTCATTTATGACTCTGGAATTCCACCAAGAAAAGTTTCTGAAAGGTGGAATCCCAGAAAGGAAAATCAATGTAAGTAGCTGAAAAGGGGTGCATGTGAGAATAGACTAGAGAACAGTATTAAATTTGGTGAAGCACCGGATTCTTTGTCAAAGTTCAATGTGAAACACGCACCCCAGTTACCAGAGCTGAGCAACAAAATGAGTGGGTATAGAGCAATATCCTGAGAGAGAACGAAAAAGAATTAGGCACTGGGAGTGTAATTAAACTCAGTAGCATTTATATAATGTGAACTTAAACCCTGTGAATTTCAAGATGAAATATTGTGTAGCTTATGAATTTCATAGGATGTTCATCCTCAACCTCTGACACATCCTATCTTACTTTTAAAAAGCTTTTTGGAGTTCTCTGAGCTATAAAACATGAATCTGGAGGAGCATAACATGTTAAAACACTAGGGTCCTTCATAGAGCTGAAACATTAAATTTGGAAAACAAATACCTCACTATAGCTTGGTTACCTGAGTGGCTAAATATTCCATTAATGAAGTGATGTTAGATGATTTTTCTTGTTTCAGCATGTTTTGTTTTATGCACTATGCATTAGCTACTGGATATAAACAGTTTATTAAGATCATTTAGGAAAATGCTTTTCAGTTGTTTTTTGGTTATGCTGACATTTTAACAAGGATCTGTTGTATCAC